CATTGTTATTCCATCCGGCCACCTCTCCTCACTGCCGTCCTCTCCGTTACCTCCTCCATCCTGTGCATCTCCCCCCACCTCTCTCTCTCTGGCAGGCGAGAAGCCGTTTAACTGCCGGTGGCCGAACTGCCAGAAGAAGTTTGCCCGGAGCGATGAGTTGGTGCGACACCACAACATGCACCAGAGGAACCTCACCAAGCTCCAGCTGGCCATCTGAGTCTTGTGTCAGGCCGTGTCCCAGTTTCAAATCAAAACAGCCCAGTTTCATCTGCTTTTACCTTCTGTCTGTGGTTATTAGTTAAACAGCTGGTGACAACCTTTGTCCTCCAGAAACCAGCCTGTTTTTTGGTTGTTGTTTTTTTATTTAAAAGGTAAAAAAGAATAGTCGTTGGGAAATGACATAGCACAGTCTACATAACAAGCTAAACGAGTGCAAATTGGTCTCTAGACGGTGTGAGATTTAGAGGATAAGGCTGCCAATAATCCATACGTTTTGTCAACAAACCCCTTAAAGGACAGACACTAGTGCTGTGCATTGCCACAACTCTCTCAGCTAGTTGACTGGAGTCACTGTGTTGATAGAGCGGAGGTATACTGGCAAAAAAAGGCTGAACATGACTTGGCTTTTGCAACAATTTAACGCAATATTTGGTTTTGTGTCATGTGGGCCAATCCAATACATGAAAGCAAACAGCCCCTGTGTATCACATTGCATTTCTACTAATTACATGACTGCTATTATAATAAGTTGTAACATCCTTATTAATTGTGTTATTATCCACTATGCGATGATGATGTCTCATCATAGACCTTCAAACTCATCGTCTCAACAATCCCCAAAAGAACACCCCCAAAATGCTGGGACTACTTCCACTGACACTGGAGATGTTATAAAATGGGTCACAAACATATATTTTATGAGATTTGTTCTGTTTTTAAAGGCTTAAGCATTCGTTTCAGCAAAAGTTCCTCAAACAGGTGTAAATAAAAGTAAAACGTTTGTATGTGGGTGTCAGTAAAGATGAAGAATAGAGCCCATGTTTATTGTAGGCGACGAACATTTCTCCCAGTGCAACAGAGGACTCATTGCTCATGCTGTTTTTTGGACCACAGCCGAGGGCCACTGCATCTGGGTTTGTGGCAGTGGGAAGAGACCTTGACCTGATTTTGACCAGTGCAAGAAAAGGGCAACTTTTGTTAGTTGTTATTGAGACACACGCGTCACCAGCGCTGATTGATGAGGATTGGACAATAGCGGTGTGCTTTCCTCTGCGGTTAGGGTGTCGATGAAGCATTACGTCATTCAATTTCACTCGTAGTCATTAACCGAGAAAGCTCACCTCACTTATCCTTTAAAAAATAAATGCTCATTTGAATGATATTTTAAAAACAGAAGCCAGAAAAAACTGCGAAAAAAGTGTAATTTGGCGAGAGAAAACATTGGTGAGTTGTGGAGATCATATTTGTAATGTAGAATTGCATTCGTCCCCAGTTATTAGCCTCGTGTGTACAGCGAGGTCAAAAGTCAGATATGCCTGTACACCTTCGCGCTTGTCTGCTGTAAATAAATCTTTATATTAAACAACTTAGGGAAGGCTAATTTATTATCTTTTTGTTGTGGACAAAAACTGCTCTCACTGGAACCATTTAAAGGGAGCGAGGTCCACTCAGTCTCTCTGCTGTATCGCGTTTTCACACCCTCACAATAAAAGATAATCCTGGGTCTGATTTAAAAACATCAAAGTAAGAGAATAATTTGCACTGTTTTTTTTGTCGGGTCGGCATTGAAATATATATTTGCAAACTTAAATACGCTCTGCGTTTAAAAAAGCGTGTCTTTTTTGTTTTTGAGTAATGGCAGGATTGGATTTCTTTTTTCTTTTCTGGCAGCGGTCTCGGGAGTCTCTTGTCTCTGCGGTGTGTAAATATTGCTGGACTTTGGCAGTGTTTTAGACTCTAAAATATGTCTGGTCAAACTGGCTCTGTGGCCGGGACATTATGGTCAAGATGTAAATAATACTACTTCAACGTGGGAACTGAACTCTTTCCACGGGGAAAAACATGTAACCTAACTGATGTGTCTTAGAAGTGTCTCTGGAAGGCTCCAGGGAGTGTTTGTATTTTTCATTTCTTCTGTATTCCATGTGTATCAATATTTGAGTCATCAAACCGCAAATGTCAGTGAATCATTTTGTACTGAAACGTGTGAGATAAAACATGAACATAATGATGCTTTCTCTCTGTCTAAATGTACTGTGACTCTTTTCATACAGCATCGGTTTGCCTCTGTGGTCTTTTATTTGTTCTTTGTTGTTTGATGTGAAGTAGAGACGTGACTTGGTTGAACTATTCAACCATAAAATCTGGTCGACGCCGAGCTGATTACTAACACTAAGGCGATTATTTATTGCATTCATCTTTTTTAGAACATGCTTAAATATGCTAATGCTGCATTTTCTTATTAAACATGTGCTGATTTACATAACTTCCGATTTCTAAGAGCAGAAATTTAAACATTTGATAAAGCCATGTCTATTCAGAAAAAATACAATAAGTAAAAAAAAATTATAAATGAGTATACATCAGGCTATAAATAATACATGAACAAACCCCTCTGTAAAAAAGTGGATATTGCTGAAAAAAGTATGTTATGAGAAAACCTTAAAATTACACTTTGTTGAAAGGATATTCTGAAAACAGGCAATCGAGGCATTTTCATTTGATTTGTGAGAAATCTACAAAATACACAAAGTGAGGAGAGAAAACATGATAGTAAATTAGATACAAACCTCAAAATTGACATGAATGAAAAACAATGTTTTTTAGCCTGTCCTGTCTCGTCTTAAGTCACCCATTTTTCATTCGCTGTTAGTGTCCTGAATAAAAAACCCAAAAGCAGTAGTGTTTTTACCCTGGCATACAGAAAGGGAGATCCACTAAATAATGTCGGCCTCATTGTGTACGATTCCATCAATGGAACATTCCACAGCCCTGCATGTAAATATGTGCAAATACTTGGCCTACATCAGCTGACCTTGACCAAGCTTTCCTCCCTTTACGCGCTGTACAGTACAGTTGTTTGTGACCATACAGGACCATACTGTTTCCTTTTAAAAACATCATCAAAGAGCTGGTTTATAAGCGACAAGACAAAGGGACAAAGTTGAAATTAGAAAAAAAGGGCAGTACATAAAAACAGTTGCACAATCAGCACACACATACATACACACTGCAGCGAAGTACGATCCACTTTCCTCCCTTTATCTCTCACCAGATTCCTCATTGCATTCCTTGGCTCAGTGAAAAAAAAAGGGCAGAGCAGGAAACTGATAAAAATGAATGTGTTTTCTTTCAGCTCCTTTCCTTCACCTTCACATCCCATTTCTTCGTATTGCCACCTTTATTTGTTAAGTTAAAATATGCCTTTTTAAAAATATATATTTTTCCCGTCAGCTTCTAGATAACTTATGACAATCCTTTTTTTAAGGCTAATTTCATCAGTGAGATGACAGTCAACAACACTCACATGCATCCAAACAATAACGACTTAAAAACCGCAGTATTTATGTGGTGAGAGAGAGAGAGAGAGAGAGAGCAACAAACTGAAAAACAGAGGCGGATGAGGCAGCGATGGATAAAGACAGATACAGCAATGTTTCTCTTGTGAACTTTTATCATAAGTTTAGCCAAAGTGTTAGTGTAAATCAGACATCGTGTCCGATTCCCTCGGTGGAAATCCCCTGAAACTCCCCAGGGCTCTCGTGCTATATCTCAGCTGTCGGACAAGGCCTATATCTCTCATCTCTAAGTGTGTGTGTGTGTGTGTGTGTGTGTGTGTGTGTGTGTGTGTGTGTGTGTGTGTGTGTGTGTGTGTGTGTATTGGTGTTTCATCTTCGTCCCAACCTCCTGCCGCTGGAGGCCTTTGAAGCAGGAGAGCTGCTCAGTGTAACCGTGGTTCTGTCCACTTTCAGTACTCACATAAGACACTGTATCTAAATGTTCTACTTAGAACAGATACGGAAAACATGGATGAGGCCTGTTTTCAGAGATGACAGGGAAAAGAAATCAAGTCACATCATAGTCGGCTCCCAGCCAATGGCGACCAACTTGCAAGCAGCTACCTGGTGAGATACAGAGCAGCTGCGAGAGAGTGCTTATTGCCTACAAAATGAACGTTAAAGTAGCTATTACATTTATCTTTTGTGAAAGCGGTTGCTCTAAGTGAGAAGGTTGTCACATGAATCTGCAGATTTCCAACTCAATGTTTTGGTTCACTGATTCCTCTCGTAGTGATGGAAGAGCCGGGCCACTGTTTTGAAGTAAAAAAGCCTCTTAAAAAGTCAGCAGATAAAAACAGCCTTCTCTGTTAGTTGATGAAGACAGTGGAACAGCATCTAAAGAGCCAAGCACGTATCCGTGGGCTCATTGTGTACAAAACTAAAGCTAAGAGGACATAAATATTATCCTTGGGTGCGTCAGGCTGTCTTGCAGTAATTCTTCCCTCTAGTGGCCACAAACTGGGTAATGTAGGTTTAAATCCCTTCTGGTTTGATGTTGTAATGTGTCATTATTGACACATAAACAGGTCAGACTTTATAGAAGTCTATTAGGAAATGACTCTCTCTCTCTTTTTTAGTCCCTCTGTAAACATTGTAAATGTGAGTTAATGGTCTCGATCTCCAGTTTCAGGTCTTCTTCAATACAGAACGAATGCTCATTGAGAGCACATGAGACCATAAAATACATGAAAACTTCTCCACATTCCTGTTGAACTTTTTTAAGTGGTGCATCTTACACTGCGATCATTTAAAATGGTACATTAGAGTTTGGTGACCTGGTGATATTCCCAGTTTTACTCAGCCCACCTTCAACGGGTAACGAAACGCACTTTTAAAAACCTAACACCCCCACTGCGGTGAGAGAACGACCTATGATACACAAGCAGACAATATGATTTGTCATAATAGGTAAAGCGCATGATAATAATTCAATTCAATTCATTTTATTTTGAATAGCCCAAAATTACAACTTTACACTCCGTATACATACGACATCCTCTGTCCAGAAACCCTCACATCGGCACAGGAAAACCTCCACGGGGAAAAAAGAGAAGACACCTTAGTGAGAACGTCAGAGGAGGGATCCCTCTCCCAGGATGGACAGACTACAATGGATGCCATGTGTACGGAATGAACAATGTAAAACAGAAAGAATACATTCAATTCCTATAACAGAAATTATTCAAATAATTGCAAGTAGTAAGCCAGGCGCACAGCAGGACCACTGCAGGGACAACCACCATCAGATAGAACCACCATCCACAGAAGCCTGTGGGGAGGGAGAGCACAGAGACTTTAGGAGAGGGTAATGTTGGTTTAGAATGACGGTAATAGTCATATGATTAATATTTAAAATAACATGTATCCTGCTCCGTTCCATTATGTCGCCCAACAGGGCATCTCAGTTAGCCAGGTGCACACACACACCAGAGCTTCCCGCGCAGCCATCATTAATGTTGTCAATTTCCCCTGTGCATTTCCCTATGATGGAGTGTAAATATGTCTGTGGGGAAAAGTTCAGGCAATAATCTCACCTGCACCTCCACAAATGTGTCAAAATGTTTGTTGGGGAAAAGGCCCATCATTTGAGTCGTTATTGTAGTTTTAAATATGCCTCAAAAAAAGGTGTTAATCACAGTGTCGTCATCTCAATTGTTGTCATGTACGACTCACTCTCCACTCCTCCCATTAAGACATGGTATTCCTCATCAGCAGAGGACCTGAAAAAGCCCAGTGGGCAACACTGACTGCTGAGTGGGTTGAGCTGCTGGCAGAGCGCTTGATGTGATCTCCCTCCCAGTCCACAAATTCTAACACTTACGCTACAATGTAATGAAATGGAAATCTGATATATTGCCTGAGTGCATTAATAAGAACTTTTCTGCCCCGTTCTGGGAGAAAATGGAAAAAGACAGACATTGTGAAAGCTGCAGAGAGAGAGAGACAAATAAACTGATGGAAAGAGTAAAAGACACTGGGAAAAAAAAGATAGAGGCGTCCTCTGCAGTCATGTTGTTCTGTGAACTGTGGAAGTGGGAACGGGAGTTGATACTGTGTGTGGATATCAAGGTCCTGGTACGGCTCAGCACAGCTCATTCCCCATGCGCACACACACACATAAACTCAAGAGGCCGCATTCCTTCCTTTGCTGTCAAAGACTCAAGTTGCTTCATGAGGACGAAACAAAACAAAAGACATCATGAGAGAAAAGCCACAGACGGAGCGATTGAAAAGTACATGCAGTGCTGAGAATACTTAAAATAGTTAAGTAACCAGCCGCACAGTTTTTTTGAGTATACTCAACTCAAGGATAATGTGTTGTGTCAACTTGCGATAAGAAGTTGGCTCAGTGCTATCCTACCTTTGTCAAACTTAATAGTATTATTCAGACCCACTAATATACTTGAGTTAACAGTTAAAAGATTGTATTAGATATATCACTGCAGGAGGCTTGCGGAGCTTTTGACGCTAGTCTAGAAAAATGAGTCAACGCACGCAAGGAGGGGTGAAAATCAGGAATCAGGAAACATTTATTGCCAAAATATGTCATACATACAAGGAATTTGACTTGGCGGTTGGTGCGCGACAGTAGACAGTATGACAAACAGTTTTTGTCCGGGGTGAGAGGGGGTCCTTCAGGGTCCTAGAAGCGAACAAGTCCTGCAGGGACGGCAGATTGCAGCCTCTCTGCAGAGCGGATGACACGCTGCAGCCTGCCCTTGTCCTTGGCTGTGGCTGCAGCGTACCAGACGGTGATGGAGGAGCAGAGGATGGACTCGATGATGGCCGTGTAGAAGTGCACCATCATCGTCTTTGGCAGGTTGAATTTCTTCAGCTGCCTCAGGAAGAACAACCTCTGAGCCTTCTTGGTGATGGAGCTGATGTTCAGAGGTCCTGGGTGATGATGGAGCCCAGGAAACGTAAGGAAAAGGCACGCAGGCATGATTTTTAATGGTTTGGCCCACTTGAGATCAAAGTGGGCAGTATCTGGCCCAAACCTAAAATTAGTTGGACACCCCTGGGTAAAGGAGTCTTACTAGTAACAAAAACAACGGCGTGTTGCTTAATGTCTCCTTCCTTACCTGTACATGTCTCGTGCATCTCAGGGGTACAGCACGGGTAACTGAAGCTAAGCTATCAGCTAAAGCCCTCCAGGTTCAACGCCACCAACACTAACGGAAGGAAAAGCACTCTGCCGCAACATGTTGGCTAACCTAAGGTTAGCCTAAGACTAACTTAAAGATAGCTAATGTAAAGTGTAGGTCCTAGGATATTAGAAATAAACTGACGACATTGAACCCACCAGAAGACCACTCCCAGAGGTGTGGACACTAACTTTCACACCTTTACGGATCGGAATATATACCTGTAGGAACCATTGTTCTCGAGTTCGCTGGTGGAGGCAGCAGACGGGCACTATGGGGGGTCAAAGGACGGCCCTGGGGCCTGTTGGTTGCAAAGACCAGCGGCTCCTCAGCCGAGATGTTCTTTTTACCACAACATCTTTTCTTTTATTAAATACATTTGATTTTAACCTTTCGATCTGGGATGTCCTTTGTCCGTCCGGCGTTTCTTTATTTTGAACACAACGAAAGCGTGCTTACAATGTAACGTCTGCTACAGCACTAACATTAACTAAAGCCAAACCACAAGGCTCGGATCGTCTGAATAGTTGAATAGTCAAGAACAAAAACAGTCTTGCCTGGTTTATTTGTGCATGAAATGAACGGCACTCTGCAGCATTACTGGAGCTGTGGGCCGTGGCTTTCTCCCGCAGACGTGCGCATGCGCAGGAAAACGTATTTCTATTTCTCGTCTTCTTATGCTTTTACACCAGTTAGTTTTTCTCTCTTTGTTGGACACTTATTGGTGACAGACTCAATCAAGATTTAGGTTTAAAAAGTAAAATGTCAATTAAATGAAAATGGGAAAAAAAGGTAGCTAAACCAGAACAACAACAACGGTATCGAAAAGCAATGCATCCTATATGTGTGTGTGTGTGTGTGTTTACTAACATATACGCATGCCCACTGGCCTTAGTGAACTCTGAAAATGTCCAATTAACTACAGTTAATTAACTATTTGTCTCCTTAAAGGTTTCAGTGGATTGCACTACTTATTAGTAAAGTTGACATTTTGAGTTAGTTCAACTTTTTTCAAAGGCATTTGTTGCCTTTAAAAAAGGTATTTGAAGTTGGGTTTTTTACAGTGTGAATGTCAGAAAATAGTCATCTATTGTTTAGTTTATTTGTTTTGTACTTGTTAAATGATTTACTTCATTTCTAACAACCTTTTGTCATCATGAATGACCTACTAATTACGTAATCATTGGGCGATTTGCCTACTCTGTGTTTTTCGTGGGGGGGGGGGTTTAATGAAGGTGGTGGTCCTGCAGCTCAGGACAGGTTCTGTCAGTGTTGTGGGTGAAAGGAGGGAAGCGTGTTTCTCCTTTTCAGTAAAGCCAACAAGGGGCTGGTGACAAATGGAGTGTAAATGAGATGGGCTCTAATCGCCTTTACCAAGTGTGTTGAAGGCCACATTTTAGCGTCTGTTGTACCCCAAAAAACATAGTTCATGGAAAAGTTTCTTCTCAGTTTGAACTCAACCTTCTGCGGATCGATTCAATATTTGAAGTTTTGAATTGTACGCCAAACACATAATAAAATATGCATGGCTGGACAGTTTTTGAAAGGACAGTAGATCTCCTTTTGATGTTCTCAAAAAATTCCATGATGTGTTTCATCATAGAAACAAAAATAAAAAAACAACTACAATGTGTACATCTATTCAATACAATTACAGGGCACATCGCATTATCCCAATTACTGTGCTATGTAAGAATCCATTACGTCCAATCCAAGCCACAGATGCACTACACAGGTGGTTTCCTTGCATTTACAAAAGCGCTCTGACAGAAGAAAGCAAACAGGGCGACAGAAGAAGAGAGATCGCCTGCTTAGCTGGGGCAATGCCCTGCAGAGGTCACAGAGGTCAGGGCCGATTCAGACCCCTTCAGGACATTTTTCAAACCGGTGTGTACTGCTCTTACTGCCCTTGCCAGCTCCTCTCACTTGGGATTTGTGTTCTACGCTGTGTGAAAAGAGGGAGAAGAAGGTGATCGGATGACACAAAGAGGAGAGGTGGGAGAGAGTGATGGGCAGAGATGTTATCGGGCTGTGTTTCACATTCTCGCCGCCTCTTCTTTTTCCTCCCACCTCTCTCCATCTGCTGGCTGGGGGCCCTTCTCCCAGGAGGTGTCCATGAGGCGTCATTGGTGCGAGAGTTTCACCGATACAACTACATGACACGTGTTGCTACGAAGACAATGCTGGAGATAACCTCTGGAAGTTGTAGCTCCCTTTGGGCTGATCTCATGTTGAGTTTTTTTAAACCAAAGAATCACCTTTCAATCAGCAGCGCTGGTTTATCAGGCTCCTCGGATGGTAAACGTATGGGGGAAATGCCATCGCTGTAAAAGTGGCACAAGGTTTCATTAAGTTAAAGGCTAGCTAATATTACAGTTCTTTAACTTTTAAGAATCGTCTCTGTGAGGACTCATTGAATAGTAGTGAAACTAGAGGCAGAATAACTCTCTACCTGCACCCTGTGGTTGATGTGCAGTATGTCGAGCTACAGTTTTGTCGTTGAATTCAATTTGCAACCAGCATTTTGACACATTTCTGGCCCATAGTATTTTTTTAAAGTAGATTCAAGAACTTCATGGTCATTTTTCTCCATTAAATCCACCCAATGAGTTATTCACGTATTATTAATATAATGCCTAGCTTTTTTAAATCTGGAAAATAATTCATTTTTCAAAATGTAATGAATATTCCAAAGGAATCAGGTCTGTAAACGTTATTTAGTTTTTAAGATAATCAATCATGACACGTGTTCAGGGAAAAGTCTTTCACAGGCATCTTAAGCGAAGAATTGAGTTTAGAATGAGAGGTTTAGGGTCAAAAGAGTCAGAACCAGACAAGCAGCTCCGGGTGTTCCAAGTCCTCCAAGTCCTTCAAAGCTGCAGGTCTGCTTCTACTCTGAGCATCTTAAATTAGGACCGAAGACCTTTTTGTTTACCTTTTAATTAAACCACATTCCATGGTGAGGTGGATACACTTATGACAAATACCGGGCCAAACACATATTCGTTTCATTTTCGTTTCCGTCATGATTTAAAGGTCCCACATCATGCGGTTTCGTTTCACCCTGTCCCGTTGCCGTGTTTTAGGTTTTGTTTTCCACTCTTAACTTTCGTTTCGTTCGTCTCGTGCAGCAGCCGTCGGCCGGTCGCGCGGAGGCTCTGCGGCAGCATGTTCTCGTGGGGAGAGGACGCCCACCGGGGCTTCCGGCTCAAAGACGGAGCGAACAATGACAGGGGGCCCTCGGCGGACTCCGGGGTCCGTCGTTTGGAGCTCGGTTACCGGCTCGCGGGTCTGTCCGCGGGCCGCAGCGCGCTCGCCTTCGTCAAAGCCAACGGGAACGCGTTCGTCATCGTCAGGAAGCAGAGCCGAGGCGGGAAGCAGAGTGAGCAAATGTCGTTTGTGGGCGCAAAAAAGCAACCACTTACTTACAAATGCATGTTATATATAACTATGTCTACACTTGCTGTGTTCTGACCAGAGTTCGTGAAGTGTAAAGAGAAGATTCAGGCCGTGGGTTGCCATGGTGATGATAGTGATGTGGTGGTCCTGCTACTGTCCGAGGGAGGAAGGGTTTTCTTTGTGGATACTCACGCTTACAATCCAAAGTATGCACAACCTGAGGACTTGATGTTAAATCGTTGTGCCCTGAATTGGCAAGAAAATCTGTTTCTGTCTCGTAAGATCTCTAAATGATCGGTTGTGTTTCGTTTCTGTCTCTTGTCAGGCCCCTGGAAGCTCTTTGTAACATACCTGTGTCTCAGGTTGCTTGTGGGGGCCAGCACTCAGTGGCCCTCACCAAAGGTACAGTGTTCCGCTAATCTACAGGCTGAATCAATATGGCTGTTTTTCAGCCGTACAAGATACGTTTGGTCCTATGTGACACGAGTCAAAAACAACAGAGATGAAAACAATTATCTGTGCTGTATTGTTGTAGAAAATAAATGCTGCTTTATTACACATTATTTCAATATTTAAAGATGTTTTTTACGAGTGCGATTAACAAGTTAATTTGTAAGAGTTACAGCATTACTGCCCGGGAAGTGTCTCTTTAGCTCTTTTAAGATTGAAGACAGAAAATGAAATCGGATTTCTCCCCAGGTGGTCAGGTGTACACATGGGGCCGGAACTCCAGGGGCCAGCTGGGTCTGGGGAGGAGTGAGACCTGCATCGACTCGCCCCAACGCCTGGGGGGTCTGTCAGCGCTCCCCCTGGTCCTGGTGGCAGCAGGAGGGGAACAGAGCTTCGCCCTCTCCGTCTCCGGGGCCGTGTTCGGCTGGGGCCGAAACGACCGCGGGCAGCTGGGGCTGGGAGACACAGCAGGTACTGCAGCGACAAGTTCCCTTTCCATCTGCTTCCCTTGAATGGGAATTCACTGTACTTTACGCTCCTTTGAAGATGGATTTTACAAGCAATATTGATCTGATCTACACACAGCATGCAAACTTGAATGTTTAATGTCTTTTCTGTAGACAGACACACGGCAACTCCTGTTCACTGTCTGAACAAGAAGTCAATCATTCACATTTCCTGCGGAAAGGACCACACTGCCATTCTGACAAAGGTTAGATTTCCCCTACGTCACCGATTGGTTTATGGACTATCGATCTGAAGCCTCAAAACATTTTGAACGTATTCATGTTGTTGTTTTTTTTCCTTGCCATCTTTGGTCTTTGGTTGCCGAAATCTTGCCTTTTTTGTGACCAAAAGTGAGTCGAGACGGGGAAGTACAACCCAACGCAGAAAAAAACCCGTTTACTTTTCATGAACTGAAAACACACTCTGAAAGGGTTAAAGTTCTAATCATGGACAACTACCAGACCACAGAATCCAGTGGTAGAGACCGCCCTAAAGCATACTCTGCTTCTTGGTCTATTGGACCATTATTTACTAATTGAGCATCATGCTGTACTGACTCCTACAACTAGAGGGGTCTTCTCCGCCTGACTGTAACCACTAACCCTCACACATATTATTGCTGGAAAAAGAGCGCTTTATTTCTGTGCAACAAAAATAAGAACAATGATAATTGACGCTATTGACATTCACTCAATTGACAGTAAAAAAATTGTCTATTTCGGGGCCCAACATATTGTATTATTCACAAGGAATTATTATTCACAAACAGACCCCTATCTCCACATCAATGTGTGTATATTCCGACATCAACAGGTAGCATATCAATATCCATGCTTTTTTCACTGAAAACAGCAGCCTCTTTCAGCTCAAGACGATGTTAACGCACACAGCGAAGTGAAACAACACAGAGTACGATAATGGATCCATTGTTGTTGTACAAAATATTTATTAATGCAGCCTGAATTTAGAGCAAACGTACTGACATCTCAGATATCTTTAGACATGTAAATAAGTAACAAGAAACAATACGTGGGAACTTGATTGATTTTCTCTGGATGCTTCCTCAGAACGCTGCCGTGTTCACCTTCGGCTCCGGGCAATATGGACAACTTGGGCACAACTCATTCAGAGACGAATTACGACCACGGCTGGTTGCAGAGCTCTGGGGGGCAAAGGTCGCCATGATTGCTTGTGGACGGTACGGTAAAACACATTTTATGATGCAATTGTCCTGAGAATAAGATTACAAAAGTAATCAAATCTGTGATGACATTAAAATGTTGTATATATAATAGATGACACGTTCTCAGGAATCACACATTAGCTTTGACGGAGTCAAAGAGGGTCTACTCCTTCGGCTGTGGAGACCAGGGCCAGCTGGGCCACGGGAAGGAGAGTCATCCGTCTGTGCCACTGCCCGTTCAGCTGCTACAAGGTGGCTGCTTTTAGAAAATAACTGAATAAAACCACGTGAATCCGAGGAATGGTGTCAGGGAGGGGACAACACATTCTGCTTTCTATTCCAGATGCAACTGATGCTCAAATTGGAAACATCTTCGCAGGGGGAAACTGTTCCTTTGCAACGTGCACGCCTACTGAGGTACCGACACAAACGTGCACAGACCGCGATGGTCGGTGTCATGGTGATGTGCGACATCAACTCAACCCTGTTTATTTCACAGGGCATCCACGAGGAGGCAAATGCCGCCGGCATCAAAACACAGCATTGTCTCAATGACATGATTGACAAATGGACCCTCGAATACGATTCAAAGACATGGAAAAAGATCAAACAGTGAGTAAATTGCTTTGGCAATATATTTTCTATGTGTCGGCTCGATGTTCTATGACTGCCACGACATTGGGAGATCATTGGGAGATTTTCAACACAGACATGAAAATGTCTTCACAGGGAAATCCAGAGGACATTCTCCTCCGCTTCCTGTGTCAATACAATCTTCCTTGAGCAGAGGTAAACACGGTATCGCTGCGCATGAACACTTCTTCACACGTGACACATGTCAATGACAGTGATGACTGTTCTTCCAATATAATAATATGGTCCGTGGCCAAACACAACTGTGCCTGAGTAGCTTTTCTAAATATGTTAATCTATTAACAAACAAATCTTTTCTCTGTGTTTTAGCAAAGACAAACATTTCCAGACTTCACCAAAGTATTCAGGCTTGAATTTGTCAGTTGCACGACTCGCTTTTGAGAAATTGGTGAAACAGGACAATGTTTTTGCTGAGGTATGTAATCAAAATATACGTAATGTGCGCAAAGGGTTTCAAAGTTATCTACTTTGAGTATCCTCTATGTGTTGCTGTTAGCGGCTGCTAACAAGAAGTCTATGGCATTCTAAAATCAAATCATGTTATTTGCCCTTAGGTTGAGGCTTCTCTCCTCCACTTGCTTCCTTCCCTTGATAAGAAGCCATTGGGAGTGGAGGGGTTGAGGATCTACCTGCTTCTCAACGAACTCCTGCATGTGATCCAAAGGCACAAACAGGATCGATCGAGCACAACTCTCGCCAAGGCGATCGCTGTTTCCCTCCTAAACTTGTCCGCTGACAGTCTCCAGGTCATAGGTACAACATCAGTCTCACATCAGCCAAGTATTGTTCATGATGACACATCGTACATTAACGTTATTACCCTTTAGTTTGCATGACATTTTCTTTTTTTATTGGAAGAGGTGGAAAGTTGACCATAACTTTACATCTGTCATAAAAGGCTATCATTTACTGCATAAAACAAAGTGGTGATTTATCAAATTTACATCCTTTTGAAATGGCTTGTTTGCCTGTTTAAGATGATGCAAAGTGATCTAGACATGGCGGTAAGAATGATAAATGTTTCTTTAGCATGTCTATTTCCTTGTCATCTGCTTACTGACCTTGATGTCCGTGTAATCTTTATTTTGTCTTGCAGGGGACTGGTGGTCCTCACTGCCAACCTCCACCATGGTTGAACATGTTAACGTGTGGAAGCAGGCCCTCTCAGTGATGCTCTCCTCAAGGACTGTTTCTCACTACTTCGGACCCAGAAACTTGGCGCTAGTCCTCCAGAACATGTACAACGTTAGTATCATTTATCTGTTGTGTCTTCTATTAACGTCACAGCATCATCTTAAACACTATTGCTACAAAATACAGTTTTACATTTGTTGAAAAGGTCAACAGCAGGACAGCAGAACCTCGACGGATGCCAGAAACGGATTTCTGTTTGTTGATTGACAAACAGTTTCTCTGGGAGGATGTGTGCGTTTGGATTTGTACACAACTCAAGGTAAAAGGAACACATGGTGAATATTTTGTGAGATAAAAGCCATAATACATTTGAAACACATTTGATACCTGTAATCTTTTTTTTTTGCCTCTTCAGAACGTGCCCGTGCAGCCATTTATCCTGTGTAGCTTTCCATTTCTTATGGATCTTGAGTCAAAGAAATTTGTTTTTGACCTGAGTGCTGAGATCACAAAGGTAACTGAAGCTTTGAACTCATGAGAACTAGTGTTTATTTTTTTTATAGAAGACATGTGTGAGAAACACTGAAGTTAGCTGACAGTCAGCCAACACAAAAAAAGAATAATAATTTCATCTTGAACTCTTATTCCAGAATAATGCACAGGACTCTCTTTCCGATATGTTTTGGACGTTTTCTGAGGAGTCCTTTGACCTAACCCTGACTCGAGCATCCATCTTAGACGACACCTTTGAACAGCTTGCTGCTGTGAATCCTGAGGAATACAAGTTACCACTCATGGTAAACATGTGATCAAAGAGCCACAAGTTCCACTTCATGCATTGCATTGTTGTATAGGTACTCTTGTATATGCTACTGTGCCAGGAGGGAAAATGGAGTTTGTGTAATTTTGTTTTACAGATTTTTTTTTTAGAGAACGACACAGATGTAAATGATCTTAATCTCTACAAAAAAGATTTTTTTCACGAAGTGTTTCACGAGATGATGTCAACTTGCATGTTTATGTTCAACGACTCCAAAACACTGGCCTGGTTCCCCTCCAAAGTAAGACTCTACATCAGATCAGATCAGATCTTGAATTATTATCATCCTATTTTGTTTCTATTTTTCTGATTTAAGTTGCGTCTTCCATCAAAACCAGGCAACAGAGGTGGACGAGAGATACTTCTACTTTGGGGTTCTGTGTGGATTGGCTTTGTACAACCAGCACATCATACACTTACCCTTCCCACTGGCACTGTTCAAGAAGCTGCTCGGTGTAAAGCCATCACTCGGTGACTTGATCGAATTCAGCCCATGCGTTGGAGAGTAAGAGGAGATATATACATTTTACTTATAGTCAAAACATCCAATTTGGTATTTCATGTGTTTTTCCATTTTATTTTGCTCATAGGAGTCTGCTTAACATCCTGGAAGACTACGAAGATGACGACATCCAAAAGCTCGACATGGATTTTGTAGTATGTGGAGTATTTTACAGATAGTCAATAACAGTAATTCTCTTTGCAAAAGTCTAATAGTCTGATCATTTCCCAAAGCCTTTGATTTCACTGTGTGTTTCTCTTATAACTGATCCACAGATTTACTGGGATGACAAAGAAGTTGACCTTGATACTAAAAATCCTGGAAAGCCACTGACAGGGCAAAATAAGTAAGGACCATGCATTTTTGTGACTTTTATGGGCTTTTTGTTATTTGACTATAATTGAAGGAAAACACTAATGAGCATTAATACATGAGTGAGAGGAAGTTCGAACCAACTGAGACAAGGTAACAAAAGAAAGAAACTCTTAAAGAACTAAGAATCAGACACAGAATTAATCCCTGAGTTACTCCACAAGTACGTTTTACGGAAATGGAAATTAAGCTACAATAGTTTCACGGGAAAATACCTGTCAGCGAGATATCCATCACCTGCTACGACCTTTTTGTTGACATGAAACTTCAATCTGCTAAATCAGGAAGGAGTTTGTGGAGGCCTACGTGAACCATGCCTTCAACACATCGGTGGAGGGTGTGTTTCAGGAGTTCAAGCAAGGCTTCTTCAAGGTATGTCACCAGGATTTGGTGAAGCTGTTCCAACCAAAAGAGCTGCAGGAAGTGCTGGTGGGCAAAGACTTCCATGACTGGGCAAAGCTGAAACAGGTACGGTCCAAAACAAGACCTCTTTGCAGTCTAGTTTTCTCACAACTGCTTTATTGCATCCTCATCCCTGTATCATGCTTGATCCGAATACTAAAAGGTATCAGAAGTAGTTGTAACAAGTCTTTTTCTCTTCAATTAGAACACTGGTTATGAGGGGGTGTACCGTACCACACCACCTCACCCCACCATACAGATGTTTTGGGAGGTTTTTGATGAACTGACTGAGGATCAGAGGAGAGCTTTTCTTTGTAAGTATTTAACCTTACTTTGACCTATAAAGACAATTATAAGGTATTATTTTGAATAGATTTGCTATTTCATTTCCGAATGAAGAGAAAGCAACTTATCAGAATCAGACAAATCATCAGAATCTTATAGTCGATTTTTTGTTTTTATTAACCACAACTCTTTTAATCTCGATGGTTCATGAATGTTTTTACATTTGTGGTTCTCTCAGCCCACTCTCAGACGTTGGTATAAGAATGATCCAACCGTTTGTTGTCAGTCATTTAGCGTGCAGGAACGCAGTGTTTTTGCTTTTTGCGTGTCTACGCCATGTGGTGTGTACTGAGTGTAAATGCATCCCCCCTTTAGGTGTTTGAGAAAGGGTTCGTAAACTTTTTTTGAAAACGTTTCGTTGATGATGTTTGTTACCTTAGGTAGCAACACAACACAAGTGACATGTCTTGTTTGTCTGTTTTTGTTTGTTTGTATTTTACTTAGTTTAGATACTTATTTAAGCCAAGTATGATTTTTATCATGAACCTAAGTAGATTCTTGCAATTTATTTGTTTTTTATGTGGTTTTTATGCTGTTTTTACGCTGTTACCATAGTTCTGTTGCCTAAGCTAACCAAAAAATGTTTTATGGTGAGAAAAACCTACAATGGGTAACAATTACACACCGTGTATACGCCATCCCACGAGATCGGGCTGGTTCTGTACACTCGCACACTTGTCAGAAAAGGCCCTTGCGCAGTGGGTGTTTTACCAGAAACTTTGGTTGCCTGCGGTCAATAACACAACTGTTCCCCTTAGCGAAAGCAGCATTATGTCTGACTCAACAGTCTGACTTCTGGGGAAGGGCAGAGCAAAGCTTAACACTTACCATGTCACAAAAATAAGGCAAGACACTGACAAATGACCATTTTCCCCTCCACTAGGGTTTGTGACTGGCTCTGAAAGGGTTCCCACTCTTGGCCTGGACAAGATCAAGATGACGATCAAGGTTAAAGAAGTTGAGGACCTCTGCTATGACGAGTACTACCCTCAGACACATACATGTTTCTCAACCCTGGAGCTGCCCTTGTACTCCACCAAGGAGATCATGCACACCAAGCTTACAGAGGCCCTGAGCAAGAATAGAAAAATCTACTCTGACTGTATATGAACTAAACAGAGGACATCGCATTGTAAGAGAGCTTTTTGTGAATGGCTGAATGAGGAGCCTTTCTAGCTATTGCTTATGTAACTGGGTATTAGCAGGCGTGACAAGACTTATATTCTTTTAAATAAAGATGTGTGGTGGATGTACATGAATATAGATAGTATATATGTATAAACTGTATCCGTATATTACGAGATTTTTTTAGCAAGTAGCACAAAATGTATTCCTTGCAAAATAAATGTTCGGCGGCAAAGCAGCCTACTTTCTACTGCAAAGAAGTCAATTTAAGCAAATGTTTGTTACATCCAATGTTTTATCTTTAGGAGCAATAAAAATTGAAACTGTATGAAATCGACTGCATCATCTGGAACAGCACTTATTGAGTGGGAACACATTGATACCGAAGATTGAAAAGCAGCACACATTTTCCCAACTACCCTGAGACTGGAGGAGCTGTCCGTCGTCTGTAGATAGTCAGCTTGGTTGATTTATGTTGAAGGGAAATAATGCTACTCATATATGAGATAAACATTATTGTCAGGAAGGTTCGTTGAAGGCAGGACTCAAATGCAGAGTTTTTTCGAAACACAAAGACTTTAATGGTCAAAAGGTTTTCAAAAGGAAAAAGGCCAAAACAAGGACAGGAACCTGGAACTTGAACATGGGCTTCCATACAATTTACAATGACGCCACAAGTGACAACAGACACACAGGGCTTAAATACACTAGGGAGCTGCAGGTGATTGGAAACAGCTGGAAACAATCATGACATGACAATCACATGGGAAGACAGGACAAGGCAGGAAGTGACGTGACCCAGGGAGAACAGAGGCAAGAAATTACAAAATAAAATCAGACATGAACCCAAACCGTGACACATTATGTTATGATATAAATAAAGTAAGAATTACCATCTATCTTTATGGTGGAGACACATTTTCCATATTCCATGATAAATGGATTTCAAATCATGGCACCCACTTATTTGATATTTCATGTTGAAGAGCCCATTTTTTTTTCAAGGATTTAACTTTATCTTGTTTTACAACTTATTTCTGTTTACTGTTTGTCCACCCGTTCCGTTATTGTGTAGTATTGACCGAATTTCATGCATCTGCATCTGCATATGCTAACATATTTTGGCAACAAATGTTCCTGATTCCTGATTTAATAATTCATATTCTGATTAAGTGATGACATTTTCATCATTCTTGACTGTACACAGTCATTTGACTTGTTGGTAGAGGAAAGCAGCGAGGGGAAGCATTTTAGTTTACTCTGTTTTTCTCCAGAACCCCTTCTACTTTTTTTTTCATTTTTATATAGATTTCAATGAATGAAACTACTAATATACACTTGAGTGGAAAATGTAACCAAATCAATGTTTATTTGAACTGATCATTGGGAGTAATCTTTATGTATTTATGTTGGCCATTTCAGACCATGAATCACAAATAGGTACATTTTCAAAACAATTGAAATACTATGAGTTGTTTTTTCAGTATCAGTTTCAGTTTTAAAGAGAACCGCCTTTTCCTGGACGGGGTGTTTGGTTCTTTCCGGCAGTCTTTTGCAGTTATTGATATATATCCACAATTTTGCGGCACTAAATACGTGAAGAGGTTATTTAGGAGACAGGGTCGTATGTGGAGTAAGCTTGGTGGAGCTTTTTACTGAATTTTCTGATTTGAGGATCTCACTTCCAGTGTTCTTATTCACTCTGTAATCATCAAAGAGTAGAAACCGCTGCAGTCATGCAGAAACAGCAGTCATCAACTCTAGTTTCACTTTAGTTTTTTCTTTCACTCTCGAGTTGCAAAGCTCCACCCACCTCTGACTCACTGGCTCCTGCGCGTACGTTTCGTTTTCCTTTCCTCACAGCAAAACATGCACAATAAACCAATCAGGTTTCGTTTCCGACTGTCGGAGGTGAGACATAAAGAGCAGCTGACGGGTCCCCACAGACATTCTACCAGGATGCTTTCATGGGGAGAGAACTGCCAGCAGGGCTTCCGGCTGAGAGATGGCTCGAATGTCTCAGCAGGCGATGGAGTTCACCTATTAAACCTCGGCTTTGACATCACGGATCTCTCAGCAGGTCACAGCGTGCTGGCTTTCATCAAAAGCAACGGAGATGCCGCCATCATTCGCACAACAGAGAGCCAGGATGGGAGAAGAGTCAGAGGAAAACAGAGTGAGCATCAGTTTTCATAACCTGCATTTGAGTTCTTACTCTTATTTGCTGCAGTGGTCTGTAGTATACCGAGCTGCTACACTCACAGTTCACCTGCTGTGTTCTCACAGAGTTAGTGAAGTGTAGAGAGAAGATTCAAGCCGTGTTCTGTGATGATCATACGGTCACCCTGCTCTCTAAGGGAGGAAAAGTTCTCTTTGTGGACACAACTCGCACTTACATTCCGAGGTAAGGAGAATTCTACCTAAAGATGTCGTTTGATGTCCTGAATCAAAATGTGTGAAATGGTGCTGATTTGTATTACAAAACCCTCACCTGGGTTCCTTGTGGGTATTTGAGCTCTGTTTTGTGTCTGTCTCTTGTCCTCGCAGGCCCCTGGAAGCTTTTTGTAACATACCTGTGTCTCAGGTTGCTTGCGGGAGCCAGCACTCAGTGGCCCTCACCAAAGGTACAGTGAAGTCTATATAGTGCTCTGCTACTAATCTACAAGCTTGGAGCTGTTGGCTCCTACGTTTGTCATGGAAACTCTTCTTAAATAGTTTCAGGCAATAAAGTAAAATGAGTCACATACTATCTGCTTAAATTTTGTTATACCACCCCTGCCTATTGTAAACTCTCTGTTATGTTGACCTGGTGGAAACAACATCTCAGCCAGCGTTGGGACGGGATGGTAAAAGCTGACCTAAAGTCCAATAGTGGCTGATGTCAATGCATAGTACAAGATAATAATTATTATAGTAACAACATCTGTTTATAAAGCACTTGGTTTGTAAAAGGCAAACCTGCCAGGTCGTCAGAACAGTCATTTCTCCACAGGTGGTCAGGTGTACACATGGGGCCGGAACTCCAGGGGCCAGCTGGGTCTGGGGAGGAGTGAGACCTTCATTGACTCGCCCCAACGCCTGGGGGGTCTGTCGGCGCTCCCCCTGGTCCTGGTGGCAGCAGGGGGAGAGCAGAGCTTCGCCCTCTGCGTCTCCGGGGCCGTGTTGGGCTGGGGCCGAAACGACTGTGGGCAGCTGGGGCTGGGAGACAAAGCAGGTCAGGATAAAAGCCTTGTCTCTACTATATAACATACTACTATACCTGTTGTATGTTAACCGGAATATACATTTTTCACAATAGACAGACCAAAACCAACTCCCGTTTGCTACCTGAACACAAAGAAATCAAGTCACATTTCCTGTGGAAAGGAGCACACTGCGGTTTTGACAAAGGTTAGACAAAATAAAAACCAACCGAGGTAGTTTAATGCAGCACTAACCCTCTGAATTGCAGAAAAATGGAAATATGTAACAATAAACAATTGGTGGGAACTTAAAAAGTGTTTTTGTCGGGTTGCTTCCTCAGAATGGTGCCGTGTTCACATTCGGCTCTGGTCAATATGGACAGCTTGGGCACAACTCATTCTGTGATGAACTACGACCTCGGCTTGTTGCAGAGCTCTTTGGGGCAAAGGTCACCAAGATTGCATGTGGATGGTACGGTACAATTGTGTGAATTCAGTTTCAATACCTATGCACATCCAACATTGTTGATAATTTTTTGCATTCCAATTGTTACTGATTTTGCTTAGAAATGCCAAAGTCAAAGCACTATGTGACGCAATTTACATGTTAATCTTTCTGTATTATGAAAAGGATTGTAGCTTAATGTAGTGTGACTTTTACGTGCGCAGGATGCCTTACCTCTTTTCAGTTCCCCTACAAAGCCAACAGTGTGTAGCAAAACACTCTCTGAATGGCTGTCATTCCTGGTAAATTGCTTGCTTGTCGCTTGCATATTAGCCGACCTTTTAAAGCAACACATGTCCGATCCATCCAGCGTAGCTATGGAGCAGGTAGCCTAACGCCTAAGCATATGCTCTAGGAACAGCAGTTTAGTGGCCAGGGTTGTTGTTTATAACAAGCATTTTATAAAGATTCTACCCACTATTCATTTTAATGTGATATTGATACAGTTGTGCACATCTCCATGAGAGTGCTGTTTGATAAACAGTCTTTTCATTGTTCCTGTTCAGAACATCCACAGGAATGGCACCAATGGAAAGCTCCTGAAAAAGCATCTTGGTTGTCATTGAAATATTTTATGCTGCAATTCTCCATCAGGCATCACACATTAGTGCTGACGGAGTCCAGGAGGGTTCACTCCTTTGGCCGTGGAGAGTGTGGGCAGCTGGGACATGCAGAGGAGAGTCATCCGTCCGTGCCGCTCCCTGTTCAGCTACCACAGGGTGAGTAAGCTTGTAAAATAACTGAATTGATTAGATTTTTGTTTCAGAGACAGAGATAACTTTTATCATTTTATCATTGCAGACACCAATCATGGTCCTATAATTGAAAACATCTACGCAGGAGGAAACTGTTCGTTTGCAACTTCGGTTAAGGTACCAACATGAATGCAGTACATATGAATTGTGGCGATAAACCCACTGATTTTTACATGTGAAGTCATGTGTAGTTTCTTTCACAGGAAGCACGAGAAGAGTCGAACACAGCCAGGGTCAGCAATGTAACCACTGATGTAATTGACAAATGGGTCTCTGAATGTAATTCAAAGTCATGGAAAAAGATCAAGGGGTAAATATATGCAGTAGCAATTATCATATAACTGCTTAGCCGGTTAACTCTATTAACACTGTATTCTCAATGTTTATTAACCAACCCCATGAAAACCTTGCAGGGAAATCCTCAGGACTTTTTCCTCTGCATCCTCTATGAATCAAATCTTCCTCGACCAAAGGTAAAAGCCATCAGTAGATAATCTCCAAGTCTCTTTGTCACTCAAATTACATCAAATTTACACTGCCATGTGTCTCCAAAGCAACGACAAACATTTGCAGACCTCGTCAAAGTACTGCGGCTTGAACATGTCACATGCGCGGCATTCTTTTAAGAAACTGTCGAGGAAGGATCACGTCTTGGCAGAGGTACGCGACTGACATCTTGCCTTCATGTGTACCTTCAAGTCTTCTCAGTGATCCTGTACTCAGTTATCACGTTTTGTGCTCTAAACAGGTCCAGGATGCTGTGCTGCTCTTGCTTCCCTCTCTTGACGAGATGCCGGAGGGAGTGGAGGGGTTGAGGATCTTCCTGCTTCTCAATGAGCTCCTGCATTGGATCCAGAGACACGGCACGCGAGGAACGAGCACGACTCTTACTGAGGCGGTCGCCGCTGCCGCGCAAAGACTCTCCGCTGAGAGCCTCCAGGTCTTAGGTACGACGAGAGCAAGATGTTCGACTGTTGCATATGCTTCTTTTAACATCAATCATAGGATCATGTGATTGGGTACTAATGGATTAAAACTGAGTAGCAACTACTCTTGTGGCACACTCCCGACCTCACTCATATCTGTGACATTTGCTTAGCTGTTAAACTGTAACTGATGTCTGCAAGTCTTCCCGTTGTCTTCCTCAGGGGACTGGTGGTCCTCACAGACGTCCTCCACTAAGGTGCGACACGTTGGCGTATGGAAGAAGGCCCTCTCAGAGATCCTTTGCTCACATCCTGTTCCTCGTGGCCCGCGGCTCAGAAATCTGCTGCTAGTCCTCCAGAATATGTACAACGTTAGTATCTGTCACCTTGTTTTCTTTCCTGGGAATTTAAAACACGCCGACTAACCCTTTACCTAAACGCACCTGTCTTAAAGGCCAACGGGCGGGTCGCAGAACATCAGAGAATCCCAGAACAAACCTTTTGTGTGGAGGTTAGCCAAACATTTCTCGAGGAGGATCTTAGGATCTGGCGGTCAATGTCAAATATGAAGGTAAAACTATGAACAAAATACACGGTTCTCTTTCTCACTTTGTCACTTTGCAAACGGTCTTCATCAAGGTGAAAAAAAGATGTATTGAAAGCTAAAAAAAATCTGTGGTCCGGAAGTTTATAATTTTGTTAATGAAATGTTTCTATGCTGTCTTCAGGTTTTGGATAATCGGCCATTTGTTCTTTGTAACTTCCCATTTGTGATGGATCTGAAATCAAAGAAAATGGCTTTCGACATCTATGCCACAATCACTCAAGTACGTATGGCCTGGAAATTTGAGCGTGGAATTTTCATCGTTGTATAGTTTGCCCTCAAGTTAGCAATATGTGTCCTGTCGAGTTTAACAAAGTGGCAAAATGTCTATTTACGTTACCAATGTAATTATAAGGCTGTTAATATAAGGATATAGAGGGGCCTGTTTTTGGCGTGCAGGAATGACAGTGAATCTAATAACAAGTGTCTTTTAGCTCACTGTTTTGGTTCTACGGCTCATAGCTCCACCGGTTCAGTTGCTCTTATCAATTTCGGCAAGAATTGTTCTCCAATATCAATCATCTATATTGATGATATTAACACTTCCCTCAAGACTTGAATAAAATATTGCCCTTATGTTCACTAGTGCAACAGAACCACAACTCCAAATGATTGGAATACACAGTAGCTTTGTGTCCGGTTAATGTTTAAATGGAAGACTCTTGTCCTTCATAAGGTGATGAATGTTGATTTCTAATAAAATGCATTGCATTGTATTACATTACATGAAATTAAGAAATAGAAGTTTTAAAGATGTAACTTTAAATGTCGTTCCAGAGAGCACACCAGCCAATGATTCCTTATGGACCGGCTACAGAGTCATACTTTTTTTTGGGACTGAAGCTGAAGCGAGCGTCACTTTTGGAAGGTACCTTCAAGCAACTGGCTGCTGCTCATCCCCAGGAACTCAAGAAGCCACTTGCGGTAAACATTCAGTTAAAGGAGCTAACTATTCTATAAATAACCTTATCTTGTGTCATTCAATTATATAATAATTTTGTTAATCTCATCTTCTTCTCTCTCAGGTCTATTATGATGAGGACCCAAAGCTCACAGACGTCAACAAAAGAGACCTTTTCCACCACTTGTTCCGTAAAATGGTCTCCCCTGGATCTGGAACGTTCATGTTCAACGACTCCGAAACGCTGGCCTGGTTCCCTTCCACGGTAACACTTTCAATCAATCAATCAATCAATCAATCCTCATGCGGGAACCAACCATTTGATGGACTTCCTGGTGAGAAGCGACAGTGAGACATTTTGCAATCAACCGACATTTTCATTGTTTCTCAATACAGGCAAATGAGGAGGACAAGACACACTTCTTCCTGTTTGGTGTTTTGTGTGGACTGGCCTTGTGGAACAACAGCGTCATACACTTACCCTTCCCGCTGGTCCTGTTCAAGAAGCTGCTCGGTGTCGAGCCGACGCTGGAGGATCTGAAGGAATTCAGCCCGGATGTTGGAAAGTAAGCATTAACCTTAATTTAGTAAAACAGTTTTGTGAATTTAAATGGGTGCTTCAGTGTTGTGAATGTACGCCAGTCAGTGTTTTCTTTTAATTTAACTCTATTTAATTGTTTCACTTGTTTTTTAGAAGTCTGCAGTGCATCCTGAACTATGACGAGGATGAACTAATGAAACTGGACGGGGATTTTATTGTTAGTGTTTTACTCTTTCAGGGATTAAAGTAATGCAACTCGTTTATCGTTCTTGCAGTGTTACAAAGCTTTTGCACCACTGACCTCCTCTTTCATCATTAACAGATAAACTGGGATGGGACAGAGGTTTGCCTTGACCCCCGAAATCCTGAGAAGCTACTGACAGTTCTGAATAAGTAAGACTTTAAATATGTTCCGATCTCATTGTGTGTGTGTATGTGGGGGGGGGGGGGGGGGTTGAGGGTGGGTCAGAGCGATGTTCATTGAATTTTTATTTGAATCTGCCAAACAGGAAGGAGTTTGTGGATGCCTACGTGAGCCATGCCTTCAACGCGTCAGTGGAGGCCGTGTTTGAGGAGTTCAAGCGGGGATTCTTCCGGGTGTGTGACCGGGATCCGGTGACTCTGTTTCGGCCGGAGGAGCTGCAGGGACTGCTGGTGGGCCAAGACGTCTACGAATGGGCGAAACTGAAACAGGTGCACGCGCTGTCCAAAACACAAGCTCGGCCTATTTTCTCCTCGACTAATTCAGAAAATCTTAACATGCTTCTATTAATCACATTGTCATTATCATTTAAATTAGAACACAGTGTGGGATCTTTGGATTGGCTCCAGCAACAAGCAGATGTTTTGGGAGGTTTTTGATGAGCTGACTGAAGACCAGAGGAAAGATTTCCTTTGTAAGTACTGTGCCTCGTGTTCACAGCATGTGAGCTGTTGAAACTATACGTTGTTGTTGTCACAAACAACGACAGAGTTAATAGAGAAGTTTCTTCTTTTTTCAATAATTTGTTCCAATTTGAAGAAATTCCAATGGCGTCGTTTTAGCAATATTGCAGCCTCCTCCATTAAATCCATCATGTTTCTGGCTTTGAGGAGATTAAAGTGCGGATGGAATTAAATGTTAGTTATCTGTGCTGGAAAGGTCAAAACAGTTATTTCTTAATAAGTGAGTCAAGATCTAAATCTAATCAATATCAGTATTTTTGAATAAAATAATTGTGTTACACAAAAACAGTGACACAAAAAAAGTAACAAACACAGTGTGACTTGAAGTTCCCTTGTCTCCCTCCTCGGACGTTCTTCAGGGTTCCTGACCGGGTCCAGGAGGGTTCCTATCCTTGGCATGGACCAGGTCAGGATGAAAGTTCAAGTTCCGCAACTCAAGAATGGTCAGGGCTACGATCAGCACTTCCCCGAGGCTCTGACATGTCATTCCATTCTGTACCTGCCCTTGTACTCGTCCAAGGAGATCATGCGAGAAAAGCTGACGGAGGCCCTGAAAACTGAGAGAGTATTCTCCATGTGATGTGCTGCCTTTCACATCCTACCTCCGGATTAAAACTAAAATCACTGTACTTACATGACTTGTCACTGACCAGAGAGTGGCCATTCCTCTCTGGCAGCACTAATGAGTAGCAGCATGAAAAGGCACTTTGAGTGTAACATGTATTGATTCCACTGAGAATGTTAGGCTGTTTATGTTTGTTGTTGTTTGTTTTGATTTTTTCTCATTATCTGTCTTAACTTTTATTTACTGTTTTATTCTCAGACCAAGTTGCCAATACATGAAGTAGTGTCCTCATGTTTATTATTTACCTTTAACTTAATCAAAGACATTCCAATACAACGGCTGATTATTTGCTAGAAAATGTGATATTTAAGCTGTATTTTTATTACTATTTTTCAATTTATTGTTTGTGTTTAATTGCATTATGTATTAACAGGAGTAAATTGGGTTGGAGAAGATATTGCTGTCAAAACATACAAACCAATCACTGTGTGTAAATTAGGCTACTATTTCCTGAAGTTTATTTTGCACTTTATCTTTAATTCCTTCTGGGGGAAATTGCTTTTTGATGACTTAATAAATCTATTATATTTTGTTTCTACCTCATAAAATGTTATCGTTGTCGAAACCAAAAAACATTACATCAGAAACTCTCAATAATATGCTACATTTGTTACTTGAAAAACTAGAAATAAAATATATTTAATTTAAAATCTGCATCATTGCATTTTCCCTGAAAAGCGCTTTGGGGTGCGAGCGTGAGAGACAAGAAACACAACAACATTCAGACCTACTTCCTCTGTAGTGTTTGGTTGCTGCATGTATTTATTGCAACGAAAGAAAGAAAAGAACCACTAGGTGGCCCCATTATTCTGCATGTTGGCTGGTTAGAGGAGACAAAGAGGAGCTTGGATGAGATCATCCAGCAGACCTGGGCCCTATTAATATAACAATGCTTAAACTTTAAATACTCCACATATCAACAACATATTAAACGCAGTCAGTTTAAGACTGTGATTGTCAGTTGGAGGTGATACAATAAATGGACAGAGTAATAGGTTAATTAACACAAAACACATATTACATTTGATGCATAACGTTACATCAGGGCAGTATTAAATTTATTATTTAATCCACCTTGTTTTCGTCTTTTGAAAAACGCCCAATTGAGATAGATCAAGAATTATCCATGAATTTACCTTACACATTAGCGACAAAAGGTGGTATAAATGGAAACAACTTTTTGGTTTATGTCCTCATTTCCATTGTAGCCCACTGAGTCTTCAAGCAACATGAATACATCCATTAGAATAGTAAAAGTATCTTAGGAATGTACGTGATAGTGTATATTATGGCACAGCTCATTGTGCCCCAGCCCCGAAGCTATTTTGAGAAAAGAAAAACACTGATTAGCGAGTTATGTCATTGCTTGGACATCCTGAGCATTCATTCCGTCGTTTTGCTCTCTTCACTGCACAAGAGGCTCGCGGCCGCTGCCCGCTTCTCCTGCTCCGCCGCGGGAGCGCGCTGGAATGTACTGACGTCAGAGGGAAAGCTGCGCGCGCGGGTCGGCATGCTCCGGTCCCGCGGTATCTCCCTCCCTTCTCTACCTCTCTGCCGGAGAGCCGTCCGCCGTCATGACATAAGTATGTGCACGCGTGGACCCCGAACACGCAGTGTTATGAAAGAGGCGGCGCTGTCAGTTCCTGCGGCCGAGTTCAGCGTGGCGAGGCGGCGCAGTGACGGAGGCGGGCGGCGCGGCCGGACACTTCGCAACTGCGGGATATTGGCTCGACAATGGTAAGTTGGATAGCGAGGTTTCTGCGGTCCGGGAGCGTCCTCGGACCAGCCGACCACAGCAGCGGCGTCGGGTTCTTCCGACGCTTTTCCGATGTTCAGCGAGGTTGCTAGGGGGGCGTTTGTTTTGGAGCTGCTGAGCTGCCCCCGGCGGGTGGGGGGTTACGGGGGGGGGCCCCGCCGGGGGGGGGGGTTACGTTTGTGCCAACAGGCAGTAGCAGCTCGTCGCCATGGAACGTTAAGTAACGACGTGTCTTGTATCCGATAATGCCGCACAGCCGGACGGATCAGACCACACGGACCGGGGGAGGCCTGCGCGCGCGCGCGTCTCCATCACGTATTCGTAAAGAATAAGTTAGTGATGATAAGATGCTGACGGCAATGAGGATGAAGAAGATAGAGGTAAATAGCCGTGGAGTTGATGGTGGTCATTTTTGTGAACTTGTTGGGGTGGGGGATGACATCATCAGGTCTAATGCCACCTTTTGACCCTCTTAGTCAAACTAATGACACACACACCCACACATTATGGTTTCCTGTTACAGTATTGATTTGGCCCGCCATTTGTGCTGGGTGGCTGATATTTGAGATTGAGCCAAACGCAGCTCTTCAACATCAGACAATGCAAATCATATTTGTTCTTCACTACCTGATTTGAAAACTTATTCCGTATTCTCTGTCGTTGGCAAAAGATGTGAAATAATCAATCTGGTCCAGCGCCTGCAGCGATGAGGAATCTCCCGTTTCCCTTTCGGGGCACAGGGGCCAAAATCATCAATACTCTCATTTCGTTGTCTTCTCTTTGTCCTGCCAGGCAACTCCCCATCACTGAAGAACGTTGCTGCCCAACAGCCCCTCCTCCCTGCACCTTGACACAACTGCTTTCCACTTTCCGTTTTCTTTTTTTCCCACACTCCTGAAACCCCCCCCCCCCCCCCCGCACCCCTCCCACCTCCTTCTTGTTCAAACATGGACACCTCTGGAGACAGAACCTCCGCTCACGATGGGCACCCCGACCCCACGAGCAGCCCCAGTCGCTCGGACCTCAGCGGACTGTACCATCTTGGTCGGACGTTGGGGAGGGGGCCACTTTGCCGTGGTCAAGCTGGCCCGCCATGTCAGCACCAGGCAGCTGGTTGCCATCAAGATGATTGACAAGACAAAACTCGATGTGATGGCTGCGAGTCACCTCTTACAGGAAGTGAGGTAAATGATCCCGAAAGAAGCGGTTTAAAAAAAGGTTCAAACTTCCTGCTGGTTTGATTTAATGGGAATTAATTGATTTAATTACAAACAAAATCTTGTCTGAGCCAAACATGGAAAAAATAAAGATACCACCTGTGTAGATCTCAGGGTGCTCTGGAGGAGCTCAGCATCCTTATTTACCCCAATTACCTCACCGTAATGAATCATTATTTCCAGGTGCATGAGGCTGGTTCAGCATCCCAACGTGGTCCGCCTGTACGAGGTCATCGACACGCCCACCACCCTCTACCTGGTGATGGAGCTGGCCGAGGGGGGCGACCTCTACGACTACATCCTGCGCCACGAGGGGGGCGTGGCCGAAGGCACCGCCAAGCGCCACTTTGCCCAGATCGTGCGCGCTGTGGCCTACTGCCACCAGCTCCACGTGGTGCACCGGGACCTGAAGCCCGAGAACGTGGTGTTCTTTCCTCAGCAGGGGGCGGTGAAGCTGACTGACTTTGGGTTCAGCAATTTATTCCAACCCGGGACGATGCTGGCCACCAGCTGTGGGTCGCTGGCGTACTCGGCCCCAGAGATCCTGCTGGGGGAAGAGTATGATGCTCCAGCTGTGGGTGAGAAACACATGTATATTTTTACTTCTATTTTTTTGCATTGGATTGGTGTTGAACCGGAACTGGTGTCTCGATAAATGGTTGCCAACGTGAGGGTCAGGAACCCCACAAGGGGTCACAAGAGAAATCCAAATGGGGGCGGGGTGATTAACAGATCCTCTCAACGTGGCTGCTTTTGTCCTACAGAAGCAAACACGTCACCTCAGGGGGTCTTTGTGTGGCCACATGTGTCCTCCTCCACTCTGTGTATTTCCTTGTATTTTACCAGTGTGTTCCAACTCTGTATACTCTTTAATATTGCGTGTGCGTGTGTGCGTGTGTGCGTGTGTGCGTGTGTGTGTGTGTGTGTGTGTAATGTCCGTGAAGGATTAGTATGTGTATCTGGGTCAGTCTGAGCAAGCCAGCCAGTCCTGAGCCATCAGGGCTCGTTCTGCAGTGGAACCAAACACTGCAGCTCACACTGCATAGCAAGCATTTGTGTATATGTGCACTGTTTATGCACCGCTGATCCCTACTGCGGAGATCGGTGTGCGATTGTAGGATTTGACATTAGAGCAGCAGAAGGAGAGCACTTGTTCAAGGAGGTTGGTTGTTTAATCTGCTGGACTGGGGTAGATATTGGCGGCGTTTGGAAGGATCTGCAGCTCCTGTTGTACAAAGTGAAAGCGCTTTGTTGTTCCCCCGTATTATCTCGTGTGGTTGTCTGCTTATAAACAAAAGGAAATGGAGCAGTCACATAAAAACACCCCTCACACGCATCAGTAACTTGTGAATTTGTTGCCGTGGTTTACGTTTTCACGTGACTTCCTTTTTTTAAAAGCTGTATGTGTTAATAAGATTTGATTTCAGCTTCTACCTGCACATCACTTCGATATAAATGCACAATTCACATACACACACACTTCACTGAACACATGTGTAGGTTGCTCATAATCCAGAGCAGCACAGAGGAAGAGAAGTCCCTTAGTGTTTTCAGCTTAGTAAGGTGACTCATAAACCCGTCTCTACACACACACACACACACACACACACACACACACATCTATTTGATATTTCTGTCTGTAAACAGGCTGCTGTTTAATGCACTGCGGTTCCTTTGCTGCTGGAAGTGTGTGTGTACGAGGAGAGACACGCTAAAAGATAAACACCGTTATTTACATAATCAGCCCGTAGCTGTGCCAAATGTGGTTTTGTTTCTAATCACTTTGGACGATTTGGATAGAACTGGGTCGGCGCGGTTGGAAACCACAAAGCTCTCACGTGAAACCAAGCCCACTAGGATATGGGGGGGTTATGACTCGGCAAAGACGTCACAGAGAATGACAGATAACCAGGGAGGGGTCCAGTTTGTGTTCTGAAGGGGGAAGTTCTGCATTTGGCTGATATTGCATGCCTCTCTGGGCGTCAGCTACACACTCCTATTTACATGTTTGTACAAAAACACAGACAAAAACACTGGCCTCTACTTGTATTTTCTCCTTTTTCTGGTCTCGGCAAGCGCTCTGCTGGTGGGGGGGGGACTGGCAGTTGTGTCTACAAACATTAACTCCCGCATAATATATCAGATGCTGATGCCGATGACTTTAGGCTCTGAGCACCGCTGGTGATTGAGCCAAGCAGGAAGTGGAAAAAACTGCGAGTGGCAGATGGTGGGTGTGATGAAGTGTGATGTGTAGTCCGATGTGTCCTCAAAGTTGCTTGCGGCTCAGTCAGGAGCAACGCTAGAAGCAAGCAAGAAAGTCCTTAACAAAAAGTCAAATCACTTTGAGGGGAGTTGTACACTAGTGACGAACGAGTCCTTTGGGAGCAGCACGAGAGTGTGTCCCAGTGCACGAGAGGTGATCTTACGGTCACTCGGTCACTGTCGACTTCTGTGTACCGACTCAACAGGCAGGTACTTCTTCTGTGGTACTTCTCAAAGGCCACTCTGCCATTTTTACATCAGCAGGTCAGTTAAAAGAAACAAATGGTTGTGCGGTGTCCTCCTCAGGGCATGTCTAAAGTTTGACCAAATTACCCTGATGATGTCTCAAAATCAATGCATTATGGGAATTTTTAGGATCCAGTCTTAGAGCTAAACCCACAGTGGACACTAACATTCGGACCCTGCTTTTATGGAGGTACACTACACAACTGCAGAAGTACCCTTTAATGTCCTTTTGTTTTCATCACTCCACGCCACAATGCTCAAGTGCTCAAGGATGAACTGGTTTTGTTTGTGGTCAAAGGTCAAGGTCACTATGAGCTTCTGCCTCCATCACATTCTTATGAGTGCCATACCCCAATGATCCATGTGCTCATCGTGAGGATTCCCGACTAGCGTCTAGTATATGGAGACTTTTTGGAAGGTTACTGGAGGCACACGATCACTCAGAATATAGCGCATGGCCTACATTATTCATGAATGTCATCCGGCTCAAGAAATAATCCAATGTCAGACGGATCGGAGTGGGATTTCCACCTGAGTCACTTATCAGTGGAGGGTGAAACCTTCTGCATGCACAAGTAATGCTCGTATTATCTTCACAGCTTAATCAAGATCATTACATCTGTGTGTGTGTGCGTGCGTGCGCTCGTGCGCGCGTGTGCGTGCGTGCACTACCAGTAAAGTCAGGACACACTTTCTCAAGAATGAGACAATCCAAACATCACATTAGATCCACAGCTGTTTGGAGCTTCTTGAGGCCGAGCATTGATCCGGCGCGGCACCAGCCAGCAGAGGAGAGTACACGCGCAGCACTTAGTGGCTTCTCCGCCGCGTTGCATAACAACACACTGCACGGGAGCGCACAGCGAGGACTGAGGGCCATTGTTTGGACCATCGTGGATACAATGTGGGACAATGGCTGAATGTTCATCACACGTGGGAGGGGGTACGTGTGAGAGTCGGTGGATAGATATGGGTCTGAGTGAAGCACAGTGTATTTTTATTGTATTGTTTTTCAATCCTTATCTATTTCGGCTCCACTTTGGATATTTTTATGGTTCATTTACAAAGGAACTCTTTCAAGTTGCTGCCAAGTATTGCTCAGTAATCTCACTGCTGTGTGGTATGAGAGTCTGCAATTATTATTATCTGTATCACTTGACACTTGACATGTGTTTATGAATAGAAATTATGGCACAAGCTCTTGTGAAGTGGAAGTGCAATCTCGGAAAAGGATTTTGTTACCAACTTGAGATAAATGCTCAGCATGCAGTAAACGACGACGCAGACAGGCTGATGTTCACCTGCATTCCTGCACGTTTTTTAGACAATAGCCAAAGGTATTGTAAAAAGTTTAAATTTGACTTCGAGGAAAACTCTGGGATCGCCATCTGGAGATCATGAATGCTCGTCATTTTTTAGACTAACTGAAAAACATTGTTATCACAGAGCTACAGTGCTAGCAGCTGTTCAGTCTGTCTCCTGATGTGACCTGAAGCCAGCAGGGACAGCCGTGTGTGTGGAGAAATCAGTACACCACCTTTTTTAAGATGCATGTGCTACTTTCACTCTTTCCGTGTGGACATCCGTGGTCCCTGTGAGACTGACAGTAACAATGACAAAACGGACCAAAGGTTGGGATAGGAAAAGAGAAAGTCAGCAATAACTGGTCCTTTAAGTAACTCTGGAAACAAATATTTAGCAGAGGTGGCGTTTATTTTTATTTCTACAGTTACAGCGCTTCTATTTCCAGCACTCGGTGGAGAAACGGAGAGGAGAGCAGGATGAGAAAAAGGAAAGCAGAATGATTCTCAGAATAGCACAACGGGCCCTCTGTTTGCTGAGGCCGTCGGCCCTCCGCTCCCCTTCCCCCTGCGTGTGTTCATGTGCGTTTCCTCGAACGGGTCGCTGCAGTGTTCTCCCCCGGTTCGGGCTGCTGCGTGTCGGCTGTTTCCTCTCACTGCATCTGCAGGAGGGAGAGGAGGGGGGGGCAGGGAGGGGTCAGCAGGCAGAGGAGGAAGGAAAGGGAGGAGGAAAAAAAAACCCCACTGTCAGCACTGTGTGTGTGCATGTGTGTCACATCAAACTGGTCATGCAGCTGTCACTCACACACTCCCTCTTCCTACTTCATTGAGGAACAACCTTATTTAAATGTCACGTAGCACTCAACCGGCCTGTGACCTCTCCGCCGACGATGTGGATGTTTTTGGTGTCTATGTGGGACAGGATCTCTTTTTCACGTTGTGTTCTGCTTCAGAAATCTCCCTTAAAAGGCTCTCAGATTTCTAAATATGATCTGAAAGCAGAGAGGGGGCTCATCTTTTTTAAAGACATGATTTGGTAATCAAGGCCAATTTCTGTACCGTGTGTGTTTATTCCAGATATCTGGTCTCTCGGGGTGATCCTGTACATGTTGGTGTGTGGAGCCCCTCCCTTCCAGGAAACCAACGACAGCGAGACTCTGGTCATGATCCTGGACTGCCGATACCGCGTCCCAGAGCACGTCTCCCACGGCTGCAGAGGGTAGGGACGAGTTGTGTCAAATACAAATGTCGTGAGATCCTTGCGTGTTTTATCTTCAACTCGAAGGCCTTTTCCACTCCGGAACATTTGTGCCGTGGAATAGATGCGGGGGGTGGGGGGGTCGCCCCGTGTCAAAAAGCTGCTGACCGCGAAATCGTGCGATTCAGTGGATAATGATAGTGTCCCAGTTATCCCGGAAGCTTCTCCGCCCAGCCGCATATAAAGTTGAAACGTGAAGCACTTTTAGTGTTATCCAGCTACAGTGAGGAGAAGTATTTGATACACTGCCGATTTTGCAGATTTTCCCACTTAAAAGCATGTAGGGGTCTGTCATTTTTATCATAGGTTCTCTTCAACTTTGAGTGACGGAATCCAAAACAAATCCATAAAATCACATTCTGATTTAAAAAAAAAATATTAAGGGTTTGACACATACAGAAAAGCCGAACTTACAAAATTTGTAATTTTAAAACTAAGTGCATGTACAAGGTAATCTGCAGGACTCGAAATATCATTTTTAAAAAGCGCCGTTGTTGTCCGAAAGCTATCTCAGTGGTTGCTTCATGACCACAAACACACACAACCCCCCTCACGTATAGATACTCTCTGCAGTGAAGAAATCACCAGGACCAAACGGTTAGACAAGAGGAAGGAACGCGGGAAGGTGTTTATACCCAAGTCCTATTCTCTAGAAGGCTACGCACATAAACACTGCATACAAAGCCTTTTGTTGGATCATCTGCTGCAGCAAACGCATCGTGCAATATGGGAACCAGCTCTGGGCCGCAGGTCACATGATGCTGCGTTTGGGTGTCCGAGTCTAGCGGAACTTTAACTTGTTTGGGTTTCAAGGCACTTCAGTAAGATGTTGTTGTAGCGCCAAAATAAAGCCTGTGAATTTCATCTTCTGTTCTTGGCATTAACGATAATCCCCTCCGTCTTTCCCCGCCGTCAGCCTGATCTCCCGGATGCTCCAGAAGGACCCGTCTTGCCGCGCCTCGCTTGAGGAGATCGAGGCCCACGACTGGCTGCAGGGGCTCGACGACGCCCTGCTCAGCCCGGAGGCCCCGCCGTACTGGCTCTCGGGGGCCCTCTCCCCCAGCTCACCACGCTTGGGAGCACCTGAATGTGGGGACCTACTGGCCGCGAGACCCCCTCCTCAGCAGGCTTTCCCCAGCCCCTGGCAGCCCAGCCTCACCTTGACCCTGCGTCCGCCTCTGGCTGAAGAGCCTCCGGTCACCAGGAACCTACCGGCGCTACAGCAGATCTGCGAAGAGGAAGAGGAGGAGGATGAAGAAGAAGTGGAGGTGCAGGGCGTTTTGGCCAAGGAGGCTGAATGCTTGGCGTCTTCGGCCGTAGCAGAGCCAGAAAAAGCAGCTGAAGAGACGCTTGACAGCGCAGGTGATCAGGAGTGCAGGGAGGAGGACCCAGAAGAGGAGTTAGGAAGCTTCGTAGAGGTTCTCGAGGAGACCGAGGAGGAGCAGGATCAAATGGAGATAGAGGAGGAAGATGGTGGCTGCGTGATTTCAGACCAACCATTGAGTCATGGAGACAGCACGGCAAGTCAAACGGCCAAAGTTCCTCCATCGCCTCTGCCTGGTTCGGCGGTGCCGTGCTGCCGGGGGGCGGTGGGCCCCCTGAGCCCGGAGGAAGAAGAGATTGAACCTAACAACAACACCAAGTCCTCCGGCTCCTCTCCCAGACTCGCACTGAACGAGGAGCAGGCGCTAAAAGCGGGACGAGAAGGAGAGCGAGAAGGGAGGACGGGGGAGGGCGGGGGGGACGTCACCCCGACGGACCGATCTCAAGCCCACAGTGCATGGCCGGAGCAGGGGAAGAGGCACAGCATAAAGCTGCGCGAGAGGCTCTTTCAGTTCCCGCTGTGCGAGAAGGCCCTGGCCTTCAACATGCCGACGCACAACAAGCCCAAGATCCTGCCGCTGGCCCAGTACAACTGCTGCCACGTGCTATGAGAGCCACAGGGCTTCATACCTGCGAACACTCGCCTGCAGCGCCGGGCGAAGGCGATCGGCGTGGCGTTGAGCCGGCGGAGGTGTGCAGCACAGTAGTCGGATATCAGCAGAAAACTGTTACATAACAGGGCCAACAGGAGTGCGGGAGAATGAAGAGCGGTAACAACAGGAAGAGATGGAAATGAACATTTTTATTGAATAAGCTATAGTCTTTTTTTGTTTTTTGTTTGAAAGGTGCCTAAAATGATTCGATGGGTTTCTGCACATGCATGGCCACCAAGTTGTTTTGGTCAAAAAACCCTCAAAAAGTCAGAATGGTATAGCACTCCGTAGATTCACGATTTCATATTCTATAATATGTGAATTAGAACAAACTTTGAACCAGCTCGTGCTACAGAGCGGCACTCGTTTTCTCTTCCCTTTGCACAACCGGCTTCTCAAGGTTCAAAAGCTCTTGATATAAGCTATTATAGAAAGATGGAGACTGTTATCATACAGTACGACGTGAAATATGATGCTGTGTAATATATGCCTAAGAATAAGATGATGATATGATTTTCTGTACTCTTAAGTCCTAAAGTTTATTTGATGTAATGACGTGTCCTAACATACTGTACTTAACTGTTAAACGGGATCATTGATCGGGATGCAGGTCTTCCAGTGTATTTCAACGTGTTCTTTTTATTCACACTGAAATGTCGTATTTGATCACAACAGATTTATTTTGTGTGGGCAGATATGAATTTTCTGAAGAGACATGTGACTCTGCATGTTGTTACTGTTATTTATCACACTATACCTCCACGTGTCTTGGCTGTGACAGGACGTGTTCCTGTGTACCTGTAAGTACTTTGAGGTAATCCACTCACGGATGCACCTCACACAGTACGTCTACTGCAGCAGGTATCTTTATCGAGCTTTAGATGTGTTGGGTCATTTAGAGCGAATGATGTGACTCCTTACTGTGTAGCTGAGTCCCTTTGTGTGCTCATACCATATATAAGCCTCTGCGTGGCTCTATTTTCTCCTCTTTTGAAGCAGAGACACGAAGTGAAACATTTTGTCAGGTTAAGGAAGATTCGTAAAATTCCTTCTACAGTAAAGAGGGCGTACTCCAATCAGGCGCTGCAGCCTCACAGGGACAACTAGTCGGATTATTACCGCGCAACCTTTGATCCCCGGCTATATAAGCAGCGGGTGTCACGTGAAACATGAAATCCGTGCAGAGAAGGGATGAATACCCCATTATTCGTTCCTGTGTGATTGCACCCCCCCCCCCCCCCCTCAGTGTGTCTGTGTCTACTGACCGGCATTGTAACTACTACCACGTCTCCATGGAGCTGTGAATTTATTTTTCTGTATTTATTTATTAAAAATGGATTCAATCAACAGGATGAATGTGTGCGGTGTGCTGGTTTTATAGAGCGTGACCGGTGATGCTGCGCGTACACGCAACATATTTTCAGTTCCTTTGGCTTCTTAAGATAAAAGCATTCAAATTCTGCCACAGGGTGTATGATAGACATTGTCAGATAAGACGAGAGCCCTGGAGGAGGAACAGCAGAATGGATGAAGACCACTGGTTTCTTTTGTTTATTTTGCATTTCTATGTTTGATAGTTTTAGGTGCTGTTGTGTTCTGGCTCTAAGACCTCACCAAATGGTGGAAAACACACACAGGGGATTTAAAAAAATATATTTGCAAACCAAAATGTGGATTAGACTAAACCATGCTGGCGGAAAGGCAAACTGCCACTTTAGCTGAGCCACCCATCCGACACTGCACAAGCTGTGCCACGGGAAACGTTCTGCCAGTACAGGCTACTTCACCCGGTCCAACCACCACGGGCCATGTGTTTGTTTGTCTGAAACCTCTTAAGGCTTAATCGCTCGGTTTAAAGTCTACAGCCACTTTAATCTGGATCAAACTGTTATGATGTACAAATACACATAACTCTAAGTGCTAATACCAAAGGTAGAACCCGGATTGTTCAATTGTGACAAAACAGGTGCTCGCAGTTGAGTTATCAGGCCTGTGTAATATGAGTGATGAGTTGTTTTATTTTAATGTGTGTAAAATGATTGTATATTGTATACATAAATTATCTGTTGCCCAATATGACTGCATCATTTAACCTGCTATGTGCCCTTGATTAAAACCAACTCAGCACTTTTTATCACTTTAAAGTTGTAAGTAAATGAAAATAGGCAGTCCTTGAAGTCTTCTTTATATGCGAGTTGAAGGTCATATCCTGGTCGAAGAGAACTCCCAGATTCCTGACGGTGCTGCTGGGTACCAGAGCAATTCCATCCAGAAAAACTGTATCACGTGATAGCTGGCTTCGAAGGCGCTCTGGGCCTATCAGGATAAACGTTTTTTCTGAGTTTAGCATCAGGAAGTTGCCGGTCATCCAAGTTTTGATGTCTCCAAGACATTCTTGAAGTCTAACTAGCTGGTCCGTCTCTTCTGGCTTGATCGACAGATACAGTTGAGTATCGTCTGCATAACAATGGAAGTTTATGCGGTGTTTGCTGATAAGATCGCCCAAAGGAAGCATATAGAGGGTAAATAAAATTGGTCCAAGTACAGAACCTTGTGGGACTCTGTGACCAACATTGGTGGTCTTTGAGGATTCACAAGCACAAACTGGGATCGATCCGATAAGTAGGATTTAAACCAGCTGAGTGCAGTTCCTTTGATACCAATTAAATGTTCTAGTCTCTGCAACAGGATTCAATGGTCTATGGTATCAAATGCGGCACTGAGGTCCAGCAAGACAAGAAAAGAGATGAGTCCTTGGTCCGATGCAAGTAGAAGATCATTTGTAATTTTCACCAGTGCTGTTTCGTGTATCTCTGGACGGATCTCATCAATCCCCAGGGCTTTGCCACTGCGGAGTTGTTTGACTACCTCAGTGAACTCCACCAGGCCAATTGACAACGATCCCTCCTCCGGCTCAAGCTACGCCTCTACCAAAGAGGGCGTAGGAGTTGGATTCAGGAGTTACTCAAAGTGTTCCTTCCACCACCCGATAAGCTCCTCAGTCGCAGGGACAAGGTTCCATCCTTACTGTACACAGCTTGGATGGTTTCCCCTCCTGAGGTGCCAGATGGTCTTCCAGAAGCACCATAAGTCCTAGTTACCCCAAACTCCTCCCATACTCACTGCTTTGCCTCCATCACGGCAGAGGCTGCTGTCCTTCAAGCCTGTCGGTACACTGCAACTGCCTCCGGAGTCCTGCACAAGCTCCAGTTCCTTCCCCCCCAGAGAGGTTACGTTCAACGTCTCCAGAGCCAGCATCTGCCGCCCAGGTCTGTTCCGTCTAGACCCCCCACTGTCACTGGCAACTTTCTAGCAGCGCACCCGACCCCATCGGTTTCCCCCACAGGTGGTGAGCTCATGGGAGTAGAGTCCTGGGGTGCGGCGTCACTCCTTCGGGCTGTGCCCGGCCGGGCTCCGCGGCAAGCCCGGCCACCAGACGCTCTCTGTCGGGCCCTCCATCTGGGCCTGGCTCCAAATGGGGGCCCCGGGCTTCCTCCGGGCCGGGTAACTCCTTCCCTCTTCCGTTTTTTTATAAAGTCTTTTAAACCATTCTTAGTCTGGCCCGTCGCCTGAGACCACTTTGCCAAGGGTAACCCTACCAGGAGCACAAGGTATCCAATAACACAGCCCTTAGGGTCCTAGAGACACACAAACCTCTCCACCACGATAAGGTGATACTGACTACCGGACTTCAAGTTTTCCTCCCGATTCCTAAAATAATTGATGGAGATCCTCTTCTGTTGAAGGACAGTCACAATTCAGTAATCAGTCATTAATATAACCACCACAAGGGCTTAGTGGACACTAACCTATTGTGACTCATATCACTAGTCACTCATTAACTCATAAGTTAAACCTGATGAGTACCCTGAATGGGAGCCTCAACATCACAGGTAAGATTGTGATACGGACAGTTATTCTCTAATGAAGTTTTAGATGAAGACCACCTCGTGTTCTGTCCCAAACAGGTCTAGAAAGAGCTCACATGGACTTGTGAGCGTTTCAGGGACATTCTCATGGGCCTCTGATTTCTCTGAGCCACAGGGCAGAAGCTCCAGTGTCTCCCTTTCACAAGTCTTCTACTCCAGCATGAAACAGTGTATTTTTAAACTTTATTAATCTAGTTTATCCAACAATCACTGTCCTCTGATTTCAGTTACCTCTGATAAACAAGGCCTAGAAGATTTGAACGCAAACAGGACAAGAAGTGCGTTAGTATAGGGTTGCATTAAATGTACCATCGTTACTGCAATATTTGGTTTACCATCAGAAAAAAACAAGGAATTGTTTAGCATTTGGGCTTTAAATATGACTAACTGTCAAATACAAACATTGCATGTTTGTTTGTTCTCTATGATAAAACTACTAATCAATATGGATTTAGAAGCAGCCATCAAATGAATGGTGCAAAGAGAGTTGGACAGGTTGACTTCTTTCAAAGAACGGATGTGGCAAAAAAAACGCTCTGTTTCATTTTATGAGTTTATTGAAGGAAAACCAGCAAACATCATCTCCCAACTAAACTTGTGAACATGTCACCAGATTGTCTAATAGTTTCAATCCTCACAACCCTTCAGAAAAGAGCACACGTGCGCACACTCTTTGGTTTATGATAAGTGTCAGGAGTGCACACTTACTGCAGCATGAGGAGGTCTCAGCCGACCCCGTCCTGCAGTCACAGGCTGTGAAAAGCTACATGGGGCTTTCATGGAAAGCCTACAGTGCCTCCTGGTGGCTGGAGAGAATAGTAACTCTTAAAATCAATAACTTATCATGAAAAACAATACACCCCAGTCAAGCAAGAATGTAAGAAAATAGTTCCCCAGGCGGATACATGGGCACATTGATTATATTGAGCGCAAAGTGACGGACTAAAAGATGAGGCAGTTGTTGCAGCACGGTGAAGTCAAGCAGCAATCTGTGGCGAGCAGTCAGCTTGAGTACAGACCAAACATTCAAAATATATACATTTCAAATAGAAAGGCACATGGCAGTTCTTTGGTAGCTCCACATCCTACGGGAGGGGGCAGTACCATCAACGGAGGTTACGGGGCAACATTGTCTTCTCACTACTCAACCATAGGGGAAATATTTAAGCTTTTTTTCTGATTTCTTACAACAGACTTTGACATCAATTCAAACATGAAAGTGAGTCAAGGACGACAACAGATCTTTCTGGAGTTTAAGCTGCAATACTTTTTCAGAGACCTGGGAACAGCACAGCATACTGTAACAAATGATTGTTGGTTTGTGTTTCTGTCCACCGAATATCCGATATTTACTTTCCTTTTAGCTTTGTTTTTGGTCTCCACCAGCTCCTTAGGGAGATATGTGGCCTTATGGCTGCTAAATTTAAAAAAAAGATGAAATAGGATTCATCTCTATTTCTGTCTGTGCGCTCGAACAGTCTATGTTTTTTGTTATTTTACTGAAAACAGCTGAATTCAGAAGGATGAGAGCAGTGAGAGTCGACATAAACAGCCAAGTTGAAAACCCAAGCAATGAGCTTAGAGCTGAGCGGACCCACTGAACGTTGTGTGATCATTTCCTATGGCGTTGTTATTCTACAAAAATGTTGATTAAAGGTGCTAAATGCAAAATTCATAGCACTCTCAATATAACAATGGTTTAGCAGGCGGCTCACATTTAAAGGTGCATACACCACTAACAGCACTAACAGCGTTGAAGGAGTTAACAGTGTTTACCTGAGGGTGGAGCGGAAGCTGGGCACTCCTGCGCCAAATGGCGAGGTTAGCGGCCATGAGCTAGCTAGTGGAAGTTAGTTTATTTTCCTCCGCTTAGATATATGCTTGAATTCAGCAGGTTTCCTTGTCTGCAAGCCATCATGCAATAAAGGGCCAAAGCAAGGAGAAGCTCAGAGTACAGCACACAGAGTGGGTTCATTCCCACTATGACGTTAGAATTTTACACAGCTGATAGCTACTTGCTGCAATACTAGCAAGTAGCTGATGGGGAGCCTCGAAAGCCGCTTTGCAGACATTTATTTCCACTCTTCTAACTGCTGACTAAATACACCGTAGCCACGGTGATTTGACGAGACCTCTTTAGCTGCCCACGTTATAGCTACACACTGAGAAATCCTCCTCATACAAAAGGCTTTTATGAAGACGTCTGCACAAATAATAAATACATCCCCTTTGCAGTCTAGTATAACAATTAAAAAAAACTTTTGGCTTCTGTTTTAATGGCACTTGCCGTGTTCACGTAATATAAGTGTGCCATTTAAAAGGGGAGAGCTGCAGGAACATAGGTGCACCGGGGCAGCATCTTGGGCACAGCGCAATGCATGGTGGGCCCTGCTAAAGACCTAAGACTCTTCTCCTCTGTGGGTCCACACAACAGATGAGCAGTTGAGCAACACCTCAAGGTCCTCAGCCATGCAGTTTCTGGAAGAGAAGGAAGGAAGGTTGTCACGGTGACCAAGTGGAACGGCAACACACTGAAATGTCGGGTGGAGGGTTAACCTGCTCTCTCAAAGCCTGCATGGATGTGAACTCAATATGCTCCATCTTCTTTCGGACCCAGTCCGGTTCGTCGGGTATCAGCACCGATATCACCACCTTCACCAAGATCAGCACGTGCTGCAAAACCAAGACGAAGGTCAAAAGAGTCATGCTGCGATAATTCCATATGTGACTCTCTCCCCACTCCCCTCTTACCTCCACCAAAATGGCCACCAGCAGGACATTTGTGCTGCTCCACCCACCCTCCCGACACAGGTTCTGCAACCACGGCGACAGCAGCAGCAACCAGCAGTTGGACACCACGGAGACAAAGCTCAGGACCTCGAAGGCGATCTGAAACACGGGGACAGTGAGGAGATCCGCTCCCTCAGGGCTGAGTGGGACGCGTCTCATTCCTAATCATGCGTTGTGTTTACTGCTGACCTGCCACACGTGCATGTTGGCCCCGGGGGGGCAGAAAGGCTTTCGGAAGAGCTTGCAGATCTTGTAGGCGTCCGTTCGGATCTCTGTTATGTTGTTGAGGAGAAGCAGCACGGCCGTTAGGGGAAACACGCAGGAGAAAAGACTCAAATACCCAAACTGCACCAGGAGCTCGATGTACTCCGCAAACAATCCCTGTGACGGAAGACAAGAAGCCGTGTCAGACGCTGCGGTGATTTGTCTTCCTGTCTTTACATGCACTTTTTCTGCATGCAGCACACTCACAGGAAAGGCAGGCAGGTTGCTTTGGTTCCTAAATTTGTCCTCCGGTGGGTCATCTTTGCTCTCTGCCCTGTGGGGGGCGCTGATGAACCGGTCCACCAGGAAGGGTATGACCACCTCCGTCACCTGGTTCAGCAGCTGGGTCACTACCAGCAAAGACGCCAAGCGCTTCAGGCAGACAAAGAGAACATGGGAAGTGGACGTCACACAGGAACCTTTCTTTTAATTATTTAATTAACGGGCAAAAACATGTAACGTCCCCTCACAACAGGAGTATGGCTGACATGGACACAATGCCAGGCGGAATGAATAAAGTGAGAGCGTGTACTGCTCTGGAGGATCGGTTTGTTGGGATCTTTTCAGCTAATGAATCACACACAAGTTGCATTATGGGATTTTATGGGCCTCGACCCACATTAGTCACAAGGGACATTATTCATAGTATACTAGTACAAAGAGAATGCCTCATGTGGTGGAACCTTGAGACAATTCCTAGCATTGTGTGTTTAGCCTACCGGTTATGACAAGTTCCTGGTAAAGAGAGATATCCTACTGTCTACTGTCTATAGTCTACTGAGCATCTTGGCCCGCAACAGAGTTTTTGTTTGGATAAGCTAGTGTTAATGAAACGGATGAGATCTTGGAGTGAGAATGTTTGTGGTTGATAGCATTAGAGATGCATTTCCCACCAAACAAATAAGTTGATCATGGCTCTAAGGTACTCAATTAAAATACAGCGAGGTCCAGTTAGAGAAAACCTTCTCATACAGAAGGTCTGAAGCAGTTTAGTTTATTCAGGTGTGAATTGAAGTCTTAAACAGATTGTTTCAGCAATTTTTTTCTTCTCTGTTAACACCATGTTGGACAGTGAATTCAGGCTTGGGATTCTGATTGGATTAGATTGCATATTACCTTGCGGAGCAAAGGCACGTCCTGCTTGAAGAAGGCAATGTGGAAGAGCACCGCAAAGCAGTTGAAGAAAGTGAACTGGCGGAGAAAGGGAGAGACAAGAGCCCGGTGAACGAGGCGGTTGGGTTGATGGGTGGGGGGAGGGGGGGGGGGTGCAGGGGAGAGGAGGAACATACCACCAAGACTTTAGCTGTCAGATGGTTCTCAAAGGCGGACTCCTCTCTGTGGTTCTCTGGAGGGAAAGATAAGGGCAACGATTGAACGACTTGAATATTTCTCTTTTCCCTCGCTCTCTCCCTCCCTTTCCCCACGACCTGCACCGGTTTTCAATGCAAATCATCTTCGGTATAAGACTGCTGCTGTATTCATGAATTGGATCATGCCCTGCCCTCCTCTCTCCTCACCGTATTCAGTCAGAGACAGCGCCGCGGTCTTGTAGACAGTTGCCAGCACGTTTGTGTAGACGATGTGGAGCACCGAGGGCACGTACAGCAGCGTCTGAGACAGCAGGGAGTCCCAGTCTCTGTGTAGCTGTTGCACCTGTGCCTCCCCCCAGTAGAAGCACAGCATACCCAGAACCACCAGGCCTGCAGAGAGAGAGAGACGGGATGGTGTCAGGGGACACGGGGACGTAGGAGAGCGTACTTTCTAGTCACATGTGAAGTTGTACCTAGAAAGAGCCCCACCACTGGGACGGACACCAGTGCCATACGCAGGTCCCTCTGCCATCCGGGAAAGAGGGGCTCCACGCGGCCCGTCACGGGGTTGACCCCGAGGTCACCGTGGAAACCGGGGCGGGGCTCGGCGAAACGCTCGGCGAGGCTCATGGTCCCCCAGCGGTAGGAGAGCGAGGAGCTCCGGCGCTTCCACAGCTCCATGACCACCGTGGACCAGAGCATGTTGAAGATGGCCTGGATCATGTGACCGCCGACGGCCGGCCCAGAGTCGTCGTCACTGGTGACCGCTGAGCCCGAGACGGACTCCCCCGTCTCCTTATGGGCCTCACCTGTGACGGGAGCGAGAACATTTCACCCCGACTCTCTTACTTCTGCTAGGACCGTTCTATCTACCTTTTATTCAATCAATAACACTCCCGGAACGCTGGGTTTTTCTGCATTTGGTCGCCCCCCCCCCACACGCCCCTTAGTGACAATAACTTTAGGTATGCCAACACGCCTTAACATGCTAAGACACCAAACAGTCTTTACTATGTCACCACCCTGAGGCAAAGCTTTTCCCTGTTATGTGCAAAAATTACGCAAGCCAAGATTTGATTTCATTAGAGCTAATGATCTCAAAGTGAATGACTTGTTATCTCGTTTTACAGCATGTATTTGAAAATAAAGTTTAGTGAACATTTAATCTAATTTTTGCGATAACGGGATGATATCAAATTATTAAACGTGATAACCGTTCTGTTGATAAGGACAAGTTCGATAAGCTTATAGATATGCAGATCTATATTATGGTTTACATCCGTTTTTATCCCTTTGTCATCTTTTAAAGTAAAGCATTTGATGGTGAAATCTCAAACAGCTGCTTCACTTTGTAACATGTTCTGAAACAACCTTTCAAGCCTTTTTCAGATAATGTCAGATCCCTGCTTAGTTAGAAGCTCGCAAATAGTTGAATACTTCTTCATTCTAGTGGTAAAATTCACTCTGTACATTAACTAAAGCAGAAGAGAATCCTGCGCGCCTACCTGAGAAGTATGTGATGGACAGGCCCAGAACCGCCGGCGGGACCAGAGACCAGGTGTAGAAATCCAGGAAGCTGAAGTAGAAGGCCACGGAGTTTCCAAAATACCCATTGATTGAATCTGCAAAGAGCAGCTGATGTTAGTGCACGCATGAGACACTCCAATATGTATAATAATGTGTGTTTGTGTTGACACCCACCCAGAGGCTGAGCCAGCTGATTCCCAGAATACCAGGCCTTGCTGAGATCCTTCAGTTTGTCCGGGTTGTGGAGGGGGAGCATGTCCACGATGACACCAGCTGACCCGAGCTTCCGCCCTGCAAACAACGTTTACTTTCACACCGACAGACAGAGCAACACTCGCCAGCGTACAGGCGCTGCAGAGAGGCCTGCAGGACACGGGCCGAAAGAGGGACAGACGCAACCACACTACACACACTAGGGCTGTCAAAATTGCTCAAAAATGACGTTCGAATATTCGCTTAAAAAAAACACATATATTCAAATATATTCGAATATCCGGTTAGGGGCGTCAATAACTGGACAAATTACTATAACGGGGCATAACTACATGTGTAGGTAATTTATTTAAGTTTAAACATATTCAACAACATATTACTTACACAAAAATAAGTAAATGAACTAATGGCCATGGTCGCAATTCATGTCCCACATATGTCAGACTTCATTCTGTGATTGAAACTGAAAGTTTTACAGCACCGACATTGAACGCTCTGAGCGAGGGGTGCTGGTAAACACGGAACTTTTCATGAAGCTGTCTGGTCTATTTTATTCACGCAACATATAGTCAGTAGTCAGGCGCGCACCTGCCCGCAAAGCAGACAGGCGCGCCACAGTTTTTATCTTACATTTGAATATTAATTTTCACATTTGAATATCTGTTAAAAACAAAAAAAAGTTAAAAACAACTATTCGAATATATTTTTGAATATAGAATATTTGTTGACAGCCCTAACATACACACACCTAGTCGCACTCTCTGAGGCTTATGCCAAGCGAAGCACTTTCCTGATGGAATGTGAGGAAAGCAGAAGTGCTGAGGTCAGCGAGGCGCCGCGGCACAGCGGTGCATGTGGATACAGGCTGACTGTTTACAACGTCGCTGTCAGTGTGCCCCAAAACACTAAATCCTCAGTGAGGAGGAGCTCTGGACGGATTGAGGAGATGATTAGTGGTGTGTGTGTTTGAATCTTCGCCCGGAAGGAATTCGTTGAAATGATCGATCGAAGCCACAAATGGAAAAACCCACATAGATCAAATATAGACGTGGATGACATCACATGGAAAGGATTCACTCACAGATGTTGTCCCGGTGATGCAGTGTGTATCCGTCGAGCAGGCCGGGGATCCTCAGGTCTTTCTGCGCCCGCAGCCCGTCCAGCTCGTACTTCACCATGTACTGCCGCTCCGCCAAGGTCAGGAACGCCTCCATGTTGTCTGTCGCACGCGGGAATGGACACGGATACTTAGATGTAGAATACCCAGCAAAGAATATACAAAGATCATATGAACAGATGCAGACTATTTGTGGGGGGGACATGGGGGGTTAACAAATGTACTGTTGGACACCGCCTAGGTGCTATCTGTTAAACATAAAATGAAAAAGCTCTAAATAATAATAGCTTTGTGCAGTATATGAATTCCTGGTTTTGTTATACAATCCAGGCAACAGCTGCTGTCCCGACCTGAGACCGAGGTGGACATTGTCCTATCAGGAGCAACCAGGGAAACTCGCTAACGTCATAACTTTGGAACACAAAACACAGCGGAGCTTTGTGTTTTATGATCCACTGAGCCGCTAGAAAAGTAAACACGGAGACAGAAACCCTTATAGTGTCCCACCGTGTGTGTGTGCATTGCTGATCCCGGCCCCTCCGGTTTTGGTTTTATGGCCTTGATTCCTGTACCTGAGTCTTTAAAGTTGTCTCTGTCGTTGTAGGAGAAGGCTTCCATCTCCCCGTTATTGTACGTCTTGCACAGACCCAACTCTTCCGTGGCTTTGAGTAACGTACAGCGTGGGGCGGAGAGCACGATGATGTTGCCCGTGGCGTCCTCTCCCGGGTGGGCCAGTAACGCAGCACCTGAGGCCAGATCGCGAAACCCTTATTCAGTATTTCGTACACAGTAGTCTTGTGAACAGGTCTTGAAATTTTGACATTCATTCAAAGGGAAGTTTGTTTGTAACTAGTTGAGATCTTATCATGCAGCCAATGAGCAGCTGAGTAGCTTCTGCAGGATCTGCGTGGGATTTAAGGAGTTATTATGTTTTACATACACCTCGACAAATTCTATTCATATGAGGATAAAGCAGTTTGAATATTGTAAAGCGGTGTTTCATCTGCTAAGAAAAACTTTAGAATATAGAGAAACCGGTATCCTTTATTTTTCTTTCTTGCTAGAGGCCTTAAATTACAGAGAGGCAATAAGTCCCCACTATGAACGCGAGAAGGGCTCACCTCCTTCCTGCTGAGGAGCTCCAATCACCCTGAGGAGCCACCTCTTCGTCTCGGGGCGAACCTTCGGCCCGAGCTTCACCAGAACCAGCGGATCGACCCGCTCCGACTTGCAGCAGGGACAGTTGACTTTGGTCCAGCCCGGTCCGGCAGTGGCGGGGGCGGTACGGCCCTCCTGCAGCTTGGCGGTTTCAACGTCGCCATCTCCGCCGGCCTTACTCATGCTGGGACTGTGGACACAGAACAGGTTCACTCTACTAATTTTTAAAGGCATTTAAAGACATTTAAAGACATTTTAAAAAGAATCTGTTTGTACTCTAGTTACTATTTGTAAATCCTACGGTGATATTTAGTGTTGACATATTTGTCTTATTAATGGAGCGGCATAAAACTCGCAGAGGATGAATTTCAAGGAATTTGGTGATTTTTTACACGTACCGTCAACAATGGGTCAAAGGTCAAAGCTTTCTACTAAGCTTGCGTTGAGGGAAAATGTGTCTTATTGTGCAACACATATTCATGTCATAATAAGTTTTAGAGGAATTGGGTAAGTAGGGATATATCTAGATTAATATCTCCAAGTAGATGAGTTTCAGTTTAACGGAGAGAAAGGAGAGGCTAACAGGAGGCCTGTAGACAGATATAGTGAGACTAGGCAAGGTTGCAAAGATATACAGCCAGTGTGCAAAGAATGGATCAAACTCATGACAGAGACGGCAGCATTTGAAAATATGATAGCCAGGGTAAAGAATACCTCAACCAGAAAAGACCATGTGTGGGAAAATCTGATGGCCCATATTACATCTCAGACGATGGGAAAAATTGCTTGCATAGGTAAAATCGGGCATAAGGGGATGATGGACTTTTCTTTTTTTTTCCTTCTCTATATTGTTTATTGTTTTTTTTGTTAGGGGTGTTATTTTATATTTTCTGCTAAAAACATTTCCTTTTCTTATAAATTGTATTATTAGTATTTTCTCTTGTTTTTTGTTTTACTATTCTGTAGTATTTTGTTTATATGTTCAAGTGGGTGTGAGTGGGTGTCGGTGTTTGCATGTGTATGTCTGTGTATATATGTATGCGTCTGTGCATATATACGTATGGGTATGTATGTATATGTGTATGTATATTGTCGATAATGGATGGTTGACTTTTAATGCCTATCTGAGAATTAATAAACATTTTGATCAACAAAAAAAAAAAGATATAGAGACAGGAGAGTCATTGTGACACTGGGGATGGCAAAAGGTTTAGGACGGGATAGTGTAGAGACACTAGCTGTGGGACAACAGTCTCATGTGTGTGTATGTAGATGCTAGGAGACAGAACGAGACGGCCAGCGAGATCGGGTCAGCCGACCAGAATGAGCCAGAGAGTCAAGCATCAAAATACCAGACTTGTGTGTTCCATGGGTGTGTGTTACTGACAGTCCCTGGTCTGTGAGGATGTGTCGGTCCTCATCTCGAGCCAGATAGATAAAGTTAGTGAGTTAGATAATAACGATAAAATAGTTGGCGCTTTCTCGATAGATGTCTCCAAAGCCACTGGACAGACATTTGGCTCAGACATAAAAATGACTTATGTGACTTTTTACCCAACACCATCATCAGTTCCAATCGTCACTTTGTCAAATCAATACCAAAACACCTGCAAAACTAATGACACATAGAACAATCCAACTGTACTTTATGTCAATAAACAAATGTTTAGCGTGCTAACAGGTTGACCTCAGATGAAGTCAATGCTAAATATTGAACGCCAGCATGTTAGCATTACAAATATGAGCATGATAGCACGTGTCAGTATAGCTCACTGTCATTGCATCATTTATTCATCTTTTTATAAGCGGATTAAAGTCGGTTAGTGTGCCACCAAACGCTCCCAACCTTTGAAAGCCACTTTCCTGAAATGACATTTACATATTTGATTGCAGTCATATCTCCAGTTAGCATTTCCTTCTTTTATTTCCCCATTTGCATGGCCAGCTATTACATTGTAACAGCGTTATGCAGACTAGGTGAGGCTAAATAACTCTTTCACGGGACTCTGCATACCTGATACTCTTATTTCCGTCACTCGCTGAGCCCTTCAGCTATGAACCCACAGAAGAACCTCCTGCTTCTCAGGAAGTAACTATGGTCTGTTTGAACAGAGAGAGAGAGAAAGTCTAGGTCAGGAAATACAGCACCTGGCACCGAGCGTTGATGATGATGTTTCTGGTCTGTGGTCCTACAGCAGGCTCACACCCCCTCCTCCGAACTCCTGTATGAACACACACACACACATGTAGGCCACATCTGTTCAGTTCTCCTGAGTAGAAACCAGTAACAACACACGCTCACTCTCTGCACACACACTAACCCGGCCTCAGTGAGTGGTTCCTCCCAGCTTTCTGTGTGGACATAGATATGTGTGTGTGTGTGTGTGTGTGTGTGTGTGTGTGTAGGTGGGTGGGAACGTGTGTATGGCAGGAATGCGGAGGAACTTCCACAGACTGCAGGGTGTGGAGGGCTGTTTTGTTTTATATTCTGACTCCTCCCTCCAGCTAGCGCTCTGCTTTACGGCTGCTACTGGGTCCTACTGCTCCACCCGCCTCTGCAACACCACCCTGTTGGTTTGAAATGTATTAAAATCAATATGCTGCTTCATAAACAGGTTGCGTAAAACACATTCACAAAATCCAAACAACAAGCACTTAGGGGTTAACATCCTACCAAGGGTCCCAGAGTGGGAGGATGGAGGCTTGGTGACCAACAATAACACATTTACGTAGATAATATTGCCTTATGTGCTCAGTATTTCATATCCCGGTTATTGCTTCCATATTCAATTCCTGCTCAAATCATTTTATATGTAACTAAAGAATATTGTGAAAGAAGAATCACCCTGTATGAAATGCTTAAAACTCATAATTATTGTTGGTGTTTCCCTCTCGTCTGTGTCTGATAACGGGTTGCACCAAATAACAGCAGCAAACATCTTAAATACAATTAAAATTATTGTTTAATCTTGCTTATCCATAACGCAATGTCCTGATAATGCTATCATCGATCAAAAGCAATGACTTCCAGTCACTAGAATATTATAAACAAATTGATTATCATAAATTAGACCAATTAATAAAATGCATTAGTGTACACACATTCTGAAAGTATGTAATCAATAAAGAAATGAGAATAGTGTAATGCCAGTCTACCGCTGTAGTTTTTAAAGTTTTTAAGTAATAGCGATGCACAGCTATGATTGTATTCAATGTAATGTAATCAACAAAAAGGGCACGTATGTAATACTCGTTACCACCACTTACTTACTTACTTACACTTACTTACCCTGAGACATTTGAGTTACATTGAACGCACCATTCAGCGTAACACCCCATTGCACCCGTAGATATATATAAAGGCTAGTCCACACATGGTGGCCATCTTGCTACAGTGAGCTCGCTCACCCATAACGTTGTGTTGGTAGTGATACGTGTACTTTTTAAACAACCATAACTTCCTCAATTTTCAACCGATTTTTAAACGGTTTGGTTTGTTATAAACGTTAGAGATGTAGTTATGACACTGCGTGCATACTATGAATAATTATGTTATGTTCTAAAAAATAGAATAATGTTCTAAAATAGGTACAAGGTACTCTTTACAAATATACATCAAGAAATCCTGCATGTTGAAATCCCCACCCTGTACAGAGATGTATTCTCTGCATACTTATGGATAATTATAATTATAACCATGGGTTTTCATACGAAAATTACATTAAACAGAACATTATTCATAAGTAGTAGTGCAGTGTCATAACTACATCTCTGACGTTTATAACAAACCAAACCGATAAGTTATTATTATTTAGTACGACTACCAACACAATGTTATGGGTGAGCGAGCTCACTGTAGCAAGATGGCCACACCTAATCTGACTCTGATTGGTTCGTTTTTTGGTTCACGACCAATTAAATCAACGATGGCAGCGCGTATTACCCAATCAGAGACAGAATAGGAGTCTTCACAGCATTCGGGTGGGTTTATTTGTATAGGATGCGGCATTGAAGACAACTCGGAAAATATGGGACAAACCTCGTCCCGTCTTGATTCAGAACAGGACGCGCTATTTTATTCTCAAATACGAGACGATTCCGTATTTTAAGGGACGGGTGACTCTACCATTATGAGCCCTTTTTTTTGATATTCGCGGATGGAACCGAGAGCGTCGTCTTTGTTGTAGTCATTGAACTACTCGGTTGCTTGTGAATCGGAAAAACCGGCGGATCCTCAGTGGAGGTGTTCACTTTTTTTTTTTGGCACAACGCCTCTTTCTTTGATAAAATACTTTCTGTGTAACTTTTCAATCCAAGTTTTTCTTTGTTTTTCTGGAGTTTTGTCATTTTCATTTTAATCACTGATTTCAGCTAACAAGAGTTTCAGTTTTCATAGCAATAAACATCACCTCAAACACATTTCAAGTCTTTTTAACGAGAGTTCCTGCATGACGTTACTCGCTCCCGCGTCTCCTGCTCTTCTTCTTAAGAAGTAACTCGACAATAGGCGGGAATATGACGCAAGTTGCTGAGATGGCGACACTTAAAAAGTAAACAACCCGTATACCACAAATTAAAAATTTCACAATTCCATGCTCTATTTGCATTGGAAAATAAAAGTGGTGTACATGGTAGTCCATAAAGTATTACACTAAAAAATAAATAGAAATAGATAAAGTCGTTTATCAGCACTGTTTTTTGCAAATGTTTGGTTGGTTAGCCGTCCACCACTTTGCTCTAAACTGTAAAATCTCAAATACTTGATGGGGTTCCATGACATTTAAGCATTCAAGCCCCCGAAAGATGAATAATACCACAGAAATAAATTATAAATAGTGATCAAATAAAAGATGAAAAGACAGACCAACTTCAGAAATATACAGACCTTTATTTACACTTAAGATTTAAAAATAAAAGTTATAGAATATTTAAGTAAACATATTTAGGAAATGTTATTTCAGGCTGCGTAACTTAGCACAAGGAAAGGTTCACCAGTCAGGATCGAGGCATCTATTTTGTATAAACACACATAAATAAGATCTCTCTTCCCTTCAAGAGGTTGAAACGTTTTAGATTGCTAAGCAGCCGGCACAATCAGTTTGCATTATTACACTCATCATCATCATCGTCGTCATCATTATTATTACGTCACCATAATTATTACGTCATTATAATCATGGCTATCAGTATCTCAACCATCATCACGGTCATCAACAGTAATCTTTGGTTCATCATTTTCGTGGTAATTATATCAATGTCATGATTATTCTTCACGATGCCTTGAGTGTTCATCGTCACCACAGACAGCGTTATGGTTTTAGAAAAAACGATATGCTGCAGGTACATTTTGGTGCGGTTTTAGCTCAATCCGGTGAAAACACAGCCCCATACTTGATGATTTAATGTTATTGCTGCACTGAATATTAAGAAAAAAAACTACACAAATTAAATAATGTCACTGCATTATTATTATGAAAGTCATCTTTTGCATGTTATTTTACAGAGCGTAGGAATGCATGGACACAGATATTATGTAAATGGGAGTCTTTTCTTTAAGCTAGAAAAGTGGATAGAAAGGGTTTTTCAGCCGTTGTAGTACATTCAGACTTGGCCTGACTGACTGATGCATGTGAACGGTTTTGATGCAGTTTGATCTCCTTCAGTTGTCAGGTTGTTCAGAGGAAACTTCCTGAAGATCCGCCGGTCGCGATCAAGACCTCCTGCTGCCCGGTCAGATGGTTCATCCATCGTCATCCTGCTGAGGTCTGCAGGGCCAATAAAAAATGATCCCTGAGATCCCCACAACAGGAAGTCTGACAGGCCGGCCTCATGCCCTCAGCTCTGTCCCTCTGACGCCATGACAACACACTGCAGACATTCGTCTTCATCAAAACAGCCATTTTCTCACCGTCCAGCCAATGAGAAAACATCTGCTCACGCCGGGACCGTAACACTGCTGCTAATAACTCTCCTGTTCTAATTCAAATGCATTTTACAAAATATTATTTCTACATCTTTGTTGTACCACGCATGACAAAAGAAAAGAAAACGGAGGATGCATTACAAAAGACTTGCAAAAATATATCTTCAGTGGTTAAACATGTAAAAATCAATATTAACATTACATTAGTGCCCTGGAGTAAGATTTCACTTTTGCAGCTTTACTGATAATGAATAAATTAGTCTTTTAGCATGTTGTAATATTTGAAGACAGATTTTTTTTGTGTTCTCAGCCGTTTCCAAAAACTACAGCAGGGCAAAAAAAGGAAGGGAACATCTCTAGCATGTTACAATACCTGAGCGTGACCGAGTGTGGCAGCGTGTGAAGCTGCAGATGCGGAGGAAGGTTAGAAGATCTGAGTTGGTCTCTCTCTCTCTCTCTCTCCACACACACTCTCACACTTTCTCTCATCACATCAGTTTCTCCTCCATCTTCCACATTCAACAACCACATATCACTTCCTTTTCCCGCAGTCTTCCTCTCAAGGAATCTTGGACAGTGCGTGTGTGTGTTTGATCTAAATTTGGGTCTAAATTCCTCGGTGTGACGAGGCGATGGCAATATATAAATCGCCTCATCACACCAAGGAATTAATATATATATATATATAAATATTTAAAAGGGCGGTGCCAATTGGGGTCCATCGCTCAGACACACTTCTTTGCTAAATAAATAAAAGTGGCACGGAAAGGCTTCGGTGACGGTGCGTACTGGTCGACACAAACAAAAAAACTCCAGAGAATGTTTTGTGTGCTGACATGAGATGGATGCGTGGGTTCGTCAGACTCCTTAATAGTGGAACATCCTCCATGGTTTTGGAAAACTGTGGCGGTGGAAATTGAACTAACGGGTGTCCCGGTGGTTACAGCATGTGGGCTGGTTGCTAAGGAGGGCGGTTGATTAGTCCTATGGCCCTTTTAGGAGAGCTGCTTCTGTGTTAGTACTTCTCATTGGGGATGACTGTGTTGAAGGGGTGGTCCCAGAATGTGGAGGTGATGCCAAAACCTGGAAAGAGATCACATCGGGGCTTTATATAGATCAGACAAAAACAAAAGGCATGAAAAAATAAAAATAAAATCGGCCGCCCTATTTGTCTGACGAATGTCCGGCTTCCAGCGCTCACCTGCTCTCTGGTGCTCAAAGTGGTGTTTGACGTGGTAGGCCTTCAGGCCGTACATGTACGAGCCCCTCTTGGGGGAACCGTAGTGAAGGTAGTAGTGGATCATGTCGTACATGACGTAGCCACACAGACCTCCGACGAACACGGACGTACCGAGGATCTCCGGGAGCGTCCTGCAGAGGATCAGATAGAAACTCCCCACCACCAGGGAGGCCAGGCCGGGGGGGAAGACCAGCCGAGAGCCGTCAAACGGAGACTGCGGAGAGACACATGGCGCACCAGGACGAGGATGAGGTAAACGGAAGCGTCTGGGTTTACGGACTATTGATTGACATCCAGAGCACAAAAGGGGGGTTGCAACTCAACAAAGGGAATAAACTAATAAATACTTCTGAGCTAATGATGAACCGGTTTTATAGAGCTTTGCTCAGCCTCGCAGTGGTCCCTACCTTGTGGTGTTGTCCGTGCAGGAGGAAGTGTATCGTGATAAGGTAGTAGTTGTGGGCCGGCGGTTTCATGTGAAAGACAAAGCGATGGATGCAGTACTCGATGAACGACCACAAGAACCAGCCCAGCAGAAAGAGCAGAGGGAAGCAGTACTTGTGGATCGGGACGGAGATGCCTGGCAACAAAGAGAGCGACGTCGATGCACGCACGCGTCAGGTGGACGTGAAAGAGACAACGAGGTGGGCTTTTGTGTGAGCGCTGGCAAATGAGTTGTGCAAATGAAATTATGAAAGTGTGCAAAAGTCTCTTGTGCTTTTTGAAAACAGTGTACCATGATATCATCGTTGTGCGGCTGTGTGTGTGTGTGTGTTACCTGAAGTGAGGTTGAGTCTGGTGGTGCCCTCACCCAGGGTGGTATAGCAGTACCAACTGAAATAGAAGACGACAGGAAGCCACACCACTGGCACCCAGTACCTGCAGCCAGAGAGCATACAGCGACATACGGTCGTTAGTTTGGACTTTAACCGTCATATCATGTTACGTTGGGGGTGATGTAACCTGTTTGTATCTATCTAATTATATCAATCACAATTAGAGTAAATTGTAAATGTATTCCTAACGCAGGGTTATTCTAATGTAACGGTAATACAATGGATTGCTTTAAATCAAGAATATTTTGAGTTTGCACTGTGCATACTTTTTCCTTTTCTCTATGTATTTTTGATCATTCATTTCCTTTTTTCATCTATATACAAGACAAGACAACGTCTCCTACCAGGAGGTCTTGGTGCCGGCCTCCATCAAGGGGTTTCCGAACAGCCTGATCGGTCTGTCGACCGGCTGGTGAACCCACGCGTCGTACTTCTCTCCCAGGTGGCCTACCTGCCATGCCAGAGGCTTCCGCCAGTCCACCAAATCCTGCACAGACACAACCGCTGAGGCGTCAGTACAACGGATTCTGTTCACATTTAAGGAAGCAGTGATGTAACAGAAACCTGCACCATCCAGCAGGAGACAGCGGAGAGTCAAAGGACTGGTGAAGTGCTCTTTGTCAAACCAGGAAGAAACTGTTGGTGGGTTGTGGAGGGACCAGAAGACCAGAATTTGAGATACTTGGGTTAAAAAGAGACCGTGTGTGGACAGACAATGCAGAAAGTCACACCGATCTGTGGTCAGTTTTGTCATGTCTAATGGAAAGATTAGTAAAACCATGACCACTGGGGGAGAGATCCCATTAAACCCGGAGAGACCACGTGAGCTTAATGTAATCCCAAAAATCTTGGCGCGCTGTGGCACTTCCCCTGGTGGCAGCCGGTCAGCTGGCTAGTTATCACCATCGGAGAGTCACACCTTTGTTCTTTATGGCCTCCGTTCGTTCAGGAAAAACTGATTCCGTTTGTCAGCTTGTTCTGCTTTCTGTGACGATACTAAGTCACACTGTAAAGTGACCACAACCAAAGGTCAATACCAAAAGATCTTCCACCTAAATGCGTTCATATCGACTCTTTCGTTGGTGCTTTTTAGAAAAAGTGTTTACACAATGAGATTTTTGATAAGGTATCTTCAGCGATTTATTGATGACAGCTGTCAGAAAAAGACATCTTTTTAGTGTAAATGTAAAGTCTTTGATCATACTACAAGAAATCTTATATTGCTATGATTTACACAATTATGATACAAAAACACAAACAAAATGTATCCATCCATAAGTTATTTTCTATAACAGCTTTGCACTAAGGCCTCCATTGCAGAGCTGCAACATGAGTACCGAGCTCAGTGCATGTTTATATGCTATGTAGTATTATTATTATTAATTAAGTGGATACACTGTAATTAAGTACTGACATAATTTACTGATAAGAATGTCAGACTAATACCTGTAAGTGTGGGTTGTTTGTACCATTAAAGTCATGTAGCAGCAAGTAATAAGAATCTAAAAACAATGGGATTACAGCAGAGCAAAGGAGCATTAAACCATTTGTGAAACTGGGTGTCACATTCCTCAGGGCGACTGTGGGTGAGTGGGGAGCACGGTCGTCCTCCAATCAGAGGGTTGTCGGTTCGATCCCAGGCTATCCCAGGCTGTGCTAACCCGCATGCCGATGTGTCTTTGGGCAAGACACTTAACCCAACATTGCTCCTGTAGCTGCGACTACAGCGTGTGAATGTTAGTTACTGGTGGCAGGTGTCACTGTGTGTGGTTCTCCTGTCATCAGTGTATGAATGGGTGTGAATGGGTGAATGATGTCATGTTGTGTTAAAGCGCTTTGAGTGGTCGGAAGACTAGAAAAGCGCTATACAAGTACAGGCCATTTACCATTTAGATGTGCTCAGAGAAAATGTGAAAAGACACATGGGAGGACAAGACACAGAAAAGGAAAGTAAATATCAAATAATGTGACATTCCTCTTTTACCAATTTGCCTTTGCATCGCGGCCAGACCACAACAGCCCGGTTGCACTGATGCCTGCCCCGGAAACGTCCTCAATATAAACGTCCTCAATATAATTTTTTTTTTTTTAAATTATGTGAAGACAACATCTGGTCCCGGGTTATTATCATACTTGTTTAATGGAAGAGGGGCTCTTTCGAAGTGCTCATACTTCTTCCACCAAAGAAATATGAATAAACTGAATTCTGTATTATCCACCGCGGAGATAATCACACACACACTCATCTCCTTTCATATTGATTATTGTAACGCACTTTTCTCCTCACTCTGTGCTTTGATCTCCTCACTGGCTCACTGTAGCATTTAGGAGACACGCTACACGGACACACTCCTGCATGGGAGGCTGACACACTTGGCCCTTATTTACCAGCCCGTGCTCCCATGTCAAATTCTCTTCCATTCATTATACGCACTCACCTCAAGACCTCTGGTGACCGAGCGTTAACTGTGCAACGCTCTGCTTATGCCCCTATGGTTTGCTAAGTCTGAGATTTCATGTGAGAATCAGCTGAAAACGTTGTTCCCTGTCCTGTTCAGACTGGCGTTTGGGTCAAATCAATGCGGTGAGCCGGTTTCAATCAATATTTTTATTCACCATTTCATTGTGCCTTCATAAAAAAGGTTTGGTGCTCTTGTACATTATTGGCCCTCACATTGTGTAATTTTTGTTCTCTTCTCTGTGACCTTTGTCTGTGAAAAGTGGAACATGAATGAATGTTCCTTTCTTACTTGAGTGTGCAAACAGGGACGGTTTAGGAATGACACGGGGTGAATAACCCGATGGCTGTTCACTCTTCTCCGCCAGCCCCATGACCAGCACACACACACACACACACACACACACACACACACACACACACACACACACACACACACACACACACACACACACACACACACACACACACACACACACACACACACACACACACACACACACGCACACGCGCGCAAAGAGATGCTGTGAGTCTCTCACAGAGACAAACACACACAGCGACACACACCTTGTCCAGGTCCACCGGGCTGCAGCGGTTGTAGTCGGCGTTCTCGTCCTCCTCGGTCACGCGCTTGCCTGTCCTCTCGTCTCCCGTCTCTCTGACTGTCTGCTCGCCGGCCTTCCTCCTCGCTCTCGCGGTCTGCAGGGACAAAACCAGGCAAGAAGCGGGATGTGAGTTACAGCAGAAAAGTAGACGAGGTGGACAAGCCCTTTTCCCTCATTTCAGTCCTGTGTAGAGACGGATGTGTCTCTGAGTGGGGGTGCAGGATTAGAGCAGGCAAAAGGAAGGATGGCGTCATATTCATAATTCAATCAAACACCCGAGAGCTCCATTTCCTGCCCCCATCCGATAAAGCTGCTCTGTACCTATAAACCACAGTTTACATGCATATGCTATATATAATATAAAGTGTATTACAGCGTTTGACAGACTATGGAGGGAGTGCCTCGGACCCTCAGGGATGGAGGGGGGTATTGTGTGCATATTAAAGTAAAACGCACGCTGAGTGTAACATTAAGAGGCACGCCCACGTGCTTTTGTAACATATAAATGATTATGGCAGGGCAACCAAATAAAACATCTCGTTCAGAAAGCATCGTTAACAGGAATTGTCTGCGGGTCCGGCGGGTCGCTGCCATCGTGACGGGGGCCGAACGATGGGGCTCAGTAATCTGCCAGCGCCGCAATCCACCCCGAAAATGAGACGGAAAAGGTGTTGTGTTCACTTCCTACATGGTGTTTATGGGTACGTTGATTCACGAGGGACAGTTCTTTTCCAGAGGGACCTTTAGTCCCGCCGCCGAGTCGTATGCTCAAAGATTGAGGCAACATGTGACACGCACACTTCAACACATAACGTTTTACGATCCGCAATCTTTGAACCTTTTCAATCTATGGCCCGTCAGTGTCCACGGGTAGAGGCCCTAAACACGATCAATCATTGATCCCACTCGATGCGACAGCAAGATATTATGAATAGCTTTGGCCCTTGTGTGGCCGCCGCGGAGAGAAAACCCCGGTCACACCCACCACATCGCCATGCGTGAGAAAAACATCTTGGCGAAACCTTTCCACCGACTTCTCCGCGGGCATATTTGAATGAAGCATTAGCCGCTTTCACACGGTCACCCGCCCTGACAACGAACGGAAGCGGCAGCTTGGCAGGCGAGTCGGGGAAGATACGAGTGTTTTGAATACAGAATGAAATCTAGTGAATGTACTGTTCAGGCGGACGGACACATTTGAACTGACGAATCAGAGAGTCAGGTAAACGGACAATTCCGTTTGGATATTTCAAACAAGGACGTATCCCAAATGGAGCCCTTTCCCATGAAGCTTTGTGGGGCATGCCGGCATCATTTGGGTTTTAGGAGCATTCTTTGGACGCGTGTACAGTGAGTGACGTGTGTGTGTCTCTGCGTTGTACACAAACCGGACACCAGCACTACGCACAGCTGCACGGTCAAGAGAAAAAGCCGACCTCTTCAGAGGGGTTGTTAGGGAGTGAAAGAAGGTGCTTGTGTTTGCACGCTCTGGCATAATATTAGAATATTCACAGCCAAGTAGGAATATTCTCTTACTTGGAATCAGTTCAAGAAAAAGGCATTGAGGTGTGGTCAGTGATCGGTTTCTATATCTGCTTCGTTTTAGTCTTCGACCATGCGACAGTCAAGTGAAAAATCAGCTGGTTGGTTTTCAAGCACGTGCACAAGGGCCCACACACACACACACTCACAACCCGAACTCGCTCACGGGTCCCTTATGGTTTCTTAATTAGATCAACTAGGCCATAAAACGCTGACAGAAGCAACACAATCAAATACAAAAAGGGCTAAAAGTTACATAAAAGAAAAGACCAAACAATGTGTGTATCAGAGCACAAATGTGTTCTAGGGCGATACTATACCAGGTGACAGAGCCGATACCAAAACAAATCACACAGGGTGGCACAGCTAACTCACACACACACACACACACACAGGCGTGACACACCCTCTGTATCAGCAGCGGCCGTGGCCTACGTGAATAAGGCTGTGAGCAGCATGCGATTCTGACGTTTAATAAGCTCTTCCCACTTTATACACAGTGGACCGGCAAGACAAAGGGGTCACTGGAAGATAAAGGTGCTACAGATATGAGGAGCCATTTTACACAACGCTGCTAATGAGAGGGGACAGGAAGGGAAGTTATAAGTTGATATTGTACAAAGGAAATTCAATTTTTTTTATGATTAACGATGTCTGGTTCCCCTGTCTTAGTCCCTACTTTTACATGTCTTTAAACAAAATACGCACAGATCACTACATTACATGTCATTTAGCCGCCGCTTTTATCCAAAGCCACTAACAATAAGTACATTTCAACCATAAAGGATACAAACTACTACTGTGGCTCACCCTGCCTCCCTCCCGGTTACTCTGACATTACCAAAATGCTTTTTTCTGGCTTATAAAATGCTATCACGCATCTGTGTTCAGCCCATGAACGAGTTATAAGAACTGGGTGCCAAAGTTAAAGATGACGCCTATTCAGTCTCCTGACATATACACGTATAAATACTAAATACTATATGAATCCATCAATATTTGATTAGGTGAAAATGGTTGACTATGGTGAAAATCTCGTATGACTATATTGATATTTGCGAGTAAATGTGTGTGTGTGTGTGTGTGTGTTTGTTTGTGTCAGAATCAGAAGCCATTTATTGCCACATATGTTACACAGAGAGGTATTTGACTTGGTGCAATATAAGAATAAAGGCAAGAACTAACAATATAAACAGATAAGCACGTTAAAACACGTATGTATGTCCATATGTTTCCATGCTGAGAGAAACCACTGTGCAAATCTTTGGGGCCAAGTATTTGGGTCAATGGGGGACACAGACTTGGTTTAAGAGCAAAAAACTGTTCTGATGGACCGCAACCTCCTGCCCGAAGGAAGGGGCTCAAAGAGTCTGTAGTCACAGACTCATGAACAGTTTGTTCATGAAATTCAGTCACTTCGATAAGGGAAACAGTGATGATGACACTAGAAAAGGACGCTAAAAGCACAGCTGAAGACAGTGTGAGACTAAGTGGTTTCTGCTGTTGAACCCCCCTTTCTAACCTCGAGGGAACCATCTGCTTTTAAACAAAACTCGCGGTTGTATTCCCATTCTAAGATAAGACTGAAAAGGTGTGAGCACCTGTAGCCACGAAAGGCTCCGCGTCCACACGCATCACATGATGGCTGACGCATTAAAAACGAGGAGCGTGGGGGATGAAAAGCACCCCCCCTACACACAAAAAGGAAAGGTAAAAAAAGGTGGTGATCGTTTCATCACTTATGTAGTTTTGATATATAGTTTTGGCAGATCTGGCAGCAGGGGTGCACGGCAGCTCTTCATCCAGTAGGACTTTGTTGTTGTCCCACATCTAATTAAAAATGAACCAAGACAGGAAGTTGTTCAGGAATCGCCTTTGTGGCCAATTTCCTTCATGGTTATACAAGTGTGTGAACTTTGAACAAAAACATCCACGACTGACTATCTCCAAAATTGCCGCCACCCCCTCCCCTCCTCCTAGGATTTTGTAGTAAAAATGATCCTCCCGGGAAAAAATATTTGGAGGAAAGCTTGCACAAATCTAAGGTTTCTAATAAGCCAGGCTTGTGCAAAGAGAGATTGCTCTTTCTGTTTGAAGTTGGAGTCAGACTGTCCGTAGTCTGGATGGACGCAGGAACCACACATTTCTTTGTTTACCTGTAGTTTCCGTATTTCATCATGAAAAGTAAGGCAGCCTGTAGTTCACAACATGTAACTCAAAGACTGTTTATACGAGGCCTGCAGGAGTAATATCTGTTGTGATGTCACTCATTGGTTTGTGTATCGCAGCCTTGAGTTTGGTAGTTTGGCCAACGACCATGTTGGTCTTTTAGAACCAGTCAACAGAAGTGACCATATTGGACCACAGAAGAGACGCCAGGGTAGAAACGGCATCCACAACTCTGAATGGACAATTGTTTACTAAATGATAATCATTCTGCATTGGAGAAGACTTGCAACTTGATATTGAGACCATAAACTCATGTTAACAATGTTTACTGAGGGAATAAATCATAGACTTCCATGTAATATGACTTCTTTTGGCAACCACAGAAGTCGCCCCCAGTAGAGAGACTGCAAGTTAAAGGCAGCTGAGGTCCAATCGCCTTTCGGACACCTCCTCTACGTTACTGACTGAACGTAAAAGGCAGAGACACGGATCCAGGAGTGCCTGTGTACACTCATCAGGCCGGGGCTGAGACAATGGGCCAAGGTGGGGAGGGGGGGGGGGGGGGTCTGTGCTGTTGACACAACTCTCCCCTACTTGGACCCATAGCCATGTCGAGAATGATATCTATTGACTGTGGGACAGTGAGGGCTGAAGACTTTTCATCTCCAATCTAAGAGCATTCAACAAGCTTAATAAACATCTGAACCCTATTCGTCATCGGGCATAAGGCAAACATTGAGGATAGCCTTTTGTCTTTTAAAAAGACAAACCTCAAATACGTCATTCCTCTTTTTTCCATGTTTGCCGTATTGGGGGCTCATTGATTGGATCGATAAAATCTTCCGATTTACCCTCTCGCAACACAGAAGTACGGTCTCCATGTTTCCATGTCTGCAAACTTCGGGGACGCCTCGCTAGGAGAGGGCGGGGGGACGGCATTTTCTTATTTTACGGAGGACATCACTGTCAAAGAGAACCACATAAGGAGCGCTCTGTCAGAATGAGGCAAAACAAAACAAAGGAGATGGTTGGGAGGAGGGTGGCGAAGTGGCTGGTACCATCGCAACACAGGAACTACAGTCAGCCTCCGCTGGAGGAGGAGGAGGAGGATGGGGAAGAGGAATGAAACCAATTTAAGGCAGCAGGGGACTACGTCTTTAATCTTGTAATCATTTGGTCATGATTACAAGATAAGGCGGTGGGGAAAAATAGGAACCAGATGGGGACAATCCTGAGTTGATCGTGTCAGCTCGGACCCATGTTCGTCACCTTTCAGCCGATAGCCACGACAGTCATGAAGATACACAGAGGATGTGAACGATGAGGTTTCGTCCGTCAATGGATTAAGTGTGCACCAGCACTTTGTTTTGCTGACTTTAGCCA